ATCGCGGCCGCGCACTGGCGGCGCACGCGGCCGTGGAGCGCCGCGTAGTGGTCGCGGCCGTCGTCCTTCGCCGGCGCCCGCGGCGCGCCGCCGATGACCACGGTCTCCCGCGCGAAGTCCTTGACCATCTGCGCGCGCGACCGGTCGTCCGGCGCGGCCAAGACGTCGTCGCAGCGCGCGCGGGACACGAACGTGCCGCCGCCGAGCGTGTCGTCCTGGAGCATGCCCGGGAACCGCTCCGCGAGCTGCCGCTCGACGTCGCGCGTCCGCGCGCCGCCCCGGTCGACGGCCTCGTCGAGCCGCGCGATCGCGCCGTCGGCCGCGGCGACGTCGCCGTCGCCGCCCGCGTCCGCGTCGCGGCGCTCGATGCGCGCGGCGCGGAGCTTGCGCAGCTGCTCCACGGACCGCCGCTCGTCCCAGAGCTTGAAGACGAGGCCCGTGTACTCCTTCGTCCAGGACCGCCGCCGGTCCTCGACGGACGTGTGGCTCACCATGCTGATGGGCATGTGGAAGAAGCGCAGCGTCGGCATCATGGCTGTCATGTGCGTGCGCGCTTGAAAACGACGTCGACGGCGACGTCGACGATGGCTCGAGGCTCGGAGAAGCGCCGCGCCCCGCGCCTCAAAGCTGCCCGCGCGCGCCGTCCATTGCCACAAACACAAAAACAGCGGGAACTGAGCAGTGCGCCGCCGCCCGCGGCGCCGTCGAGGGCCCTATAGCGGCCGTCGAAGCGCGCTTTGCTGACGCGTTGCAGCGGTCATGTCAAGAAATAATCCATACAACAAAGCGCCGAAGCTCGCGCTCGCGCGCGCGGCGCCGCCGTCGGCGCCGAGCCCGCCGAGCTGGTCTTCCCAGTCGCAGCACCTGGAGCCGAGCCCGGCGGCGCCGTCGCCGGCGGCGCCGTCGCCGTCGGCGCCGCTGGCGTCGCAGCCGGCGTCGCAGGCCGCCGAGGCCGTCGCGGCGCGCGAGCGCGAGGTCGCCGCGCGGCTCGCGGAGGTCGAGCGGCGCGAGGCGGCGGCGGCGGCGGCGGCGTCGACCGGCGGCGGCGGCGGCGACGCCGCGCTCGCGGAGAAATTGGCGGCGGCGGAGGACCGCATCTTCGAGCTCGAGGCGGAGCAGGCGACCATCGAGGTCGACGCCAAGTTCCAGATCGAGAAGGGCCGCGAGACGCTCCAGGCGGAACTCAAGTTCAAGGACGAGGAGCTCGCGAAGAGCGACCGGGCGCTCCAGCGCGCGACGGCGCAGCTCCGGCGCCAGGCCGAGGCCGCCGCCGCCGCGCCGCCGCCGGCGCCGGCGCCGCCGCCCGCGCCCGCGCGCGCCGCGCGCGCGGCCGCCTCCGCTTCCGGCGGCGAGCGGGGCCGCGCGGTCGGCGTCGTCTTCGGCGAGCGGCGCGACGCCGTCGCGCGCCTGAGCTTCGAGTCGCCGGCCCTGCGGCGCGCCGTCGCGGCGCTCGCGGCGGGCGACGAGGGCGCGTCCGTCGGCGCGGTGCTCGACGCGCTCGGCGCCGTCGCCGCCGCGGCGGAATCGGGCGGCGCCGCGGCGACGGACGCCGCGCGCGTCGCCCTCGAGGTCGGCGAGGAGCTCCTGGCCACGTGCCCCGACGCCGCCGCCGACGAGGCCGCGTGCGCGCCGCGCGCGCGCGCGGGCGGCCGCGGCGCGCTCGCCGCGGCCGCGCTCGCCGCGGCCGCGCGGCCGCACGCGCTCCGCGTGCCCGCGCTCCGCGTCGCCGCCGCCGCGGCCGCGGCGCGCGACGGCGACGACGCCTGGTGGCGGCCGCGCTGCGCGGCGCCCCTCGGCGACGTCGTCGGCGCCGCGGGCTTCGGGTACGGCGCCGCGGCGCCGCGCGAGCTCGCGGCCGCCGCGGCCGCGGCGCTGGACCTCGCGTCGACGCTCGCGGCCTTTGAGGGCGACGCCTTCGACGCCGACGCCTGGCCCGCCGTCGCGGCGCTCTGCGCGCGCGCCGCGGAGGCGCCCGGGGACGCGGCCGCGCGCGCGGCGCTCCGCGCCGTCGTCGACGCCGCGAGCCACGTCGCGGCCCTCGACGCGCGCCGCGCGGCGGCGCTCCTCGCGCCGACGCCGCGGACGAACCAGGTCTCCGTCGCCGCGGCCCTCGTCCGCGCGGCCAACGACGCGGACGCGGCCGACGGCGACTCGCCGCTCGCCGCCGCCGTCGTCGCGCTCCTCGGCCACGTCGTCTTCTTCTCCACCGTCGCGCTCGCGGACCTCTTCGGCTTCCACGCCGACGCGCTCGCCTACCACGAGCTGCTGGCTCTCTGCGAGCGCGCCAAGTTCGCGTCGCCGAACCACGAGAACCGCGACGCGGACTGCGTCATCGAGCGCCTCGGCGACGAGGGGCACCTAAGGCTCACTTAGAGGTCCGCCTCCTGGACCTTCCGCGAGACGGCGGCCTCCTGGCTCGCGACGATGGCCGTCTCGTCGACGGACGACTCCACGGGCACGGCGACGACGACGTCCGCCGCGTCGGCCGCGTCCCCCTCGAGGGGCGCGCTCTCCTCGTCGCCGTGGCCCAGGGGCGACTGGACGCCCTTGGGCACGCGGAAGAAGATCTGGTACGCGCGGTGCCGGAGCAACACGCCCGCGACGGCGAGCGCGAGCGCGACGACGACGACGACGACGACGACGATCGTCGACGACGCCGCGTCGACGCCGTCGTCGTCGTCGGCCGCCGCGTTCACCGCGGACGCGTCGGACGGCGCGGACGTCGCCGGCGCCGGCGTCGGCTCCGGCGCCGGCGCCGGCGTCGGCTCCGGCGCGGCCGTCGGCTCCGGCGCGGCCGTCGGTTCGGGCGCGGCCGTCGGTTCCGGCGAGGAGGCGTCCCCGAACGCGACGGCGTCGGAAAAGTCGTCGCAGTGGTGGGCGACGGCGACGGTCCACGCGCCGTCGGGCAACGGGCACGAGATGGACGTCGCCGAGAGGAACGTCGCGGCGACTCTCGTGTCGCCGTCGAAGCGGCAGGCGAGGTCGGGCGTGTCGAGGAAGTCGCCGTCGATCAGGATGGAGTCGTCCGCGTGGTCGCCGCCGAAGACGACGGACACCGCGGCGCCGAGGACGACGTAGACGCCGTCGACGACCGGCCGCGCGACGCAGTCCCCCCACAGGTCGACGTCGACCCAGGCGCCGTAGGCGCAGGCGAAGCGGTTGCCCGTGGCGAGGAAGCCCTCGCTCAGGGACGCGAAGGGCTCGAGGCTCTCGTCGAGGCTCCCGCAGAAGGCGTTGTCGTCGAGGCGCAGCTCCGCGTGGATCTCCGCGACCGTCGGATCGCCGACGAGCGCGTAGAGCGCGTCGTAGCTCAACGCCCCGGAGAAGGCGTTGGCGCTGAGGTCGACGCGCTTCAGCGCCGGCGCGCCGCGGTTCGTCGGCGGCGCTCCCGAGAGCGCGTTGTGGGCGAGGTCCAGGCGGCTGAGGCGCGGGAGGCCCGCGAGGAAGGCGTCGAGGTCGAGCGCGCCGGCGAGCGCGTTGTGGCTCAGGTCCAGGTCCGCGAGGGAGCCGCTGGCCAGCGCCGCGGGCGAGCCCGTGACGCTCGCGTTCGCCAGCGAGAGCCGAGCGAGGTTCGTCGCCGCGGCGACGTCCAGCGCGGCGACGTCGACGCCGAGCCTCGGGTTGTCGGAGAGCGCCAGGGTCTGCAGGTCCGGCAGGTCCGAGAAGTAGCAGTCGGGGAACGCGTCGAAGTCGTTCTTGGACGCGGACACCGCCGACAGCTTCGCGAGCTCGCAGCCGGGCAGGGACCCGGTCAGACGATTATTGCTGAGGTCGAGCGTGTCGAGGTCGACGAGGGTCGCCAGGGACGGGAGCGACCCGGCGAGCTCGTTGTTCGCGAGCATCAACGTCTTCAAGCCGACCAATTCGCCCAACGAGTCCGGCAGGGTCCCCCGGAGCCCCGCGGTCGTCAGGTCCAGGCGCACGACGTGGCCGTCGTCGTCGCAGTCGACGCCCGGGATGGCCAGGCAGCCCGTGGCGTTGCTCCGGCCCGCCCACCACGTGCAGTGCGGCGACGGCGCCTCGTGCTCGCGCGCGGCCTCGGACGCGTCGCTCGTCGCGCCGTCCCAGGCGAAGCCCGCCGGCGCGTCGGCCCAGGGGCCGCAATTGGCGTCGTAGAGCTCGTCGAGGACCGCGCGCTCCGCGTCCAGGATCGCGTCGGAGCCGTATCGGAGGTCCGCGACGAGTTCGACGCTCACGGCGCCCGCGGCCGTCCGCGCGGACACCAAAACATAAAGCACGTCCTGCGTGAGCCGCCAGTCGTCGTGGCCGCAGCCCGCCTTGCAGGACTCGGCGAGGGGCGCCGCGTGCTCGTAGTCGCACCGGTCGTAGCACCGGTAGTAGTCCTCCGTCGCGTTCCCCCCTTCGACGCCCTCGTAGAAGACGAGGGCATCGTCATGCTCCAGGGGCCAGTAGTACCAGTCGTAGACCGTGCCCCGGCCCGCGTCGAACTCGGGCCAGGTCCGCCAGCTGAAGAAGGTCGCGGGCGTCGCCGCCGACGTCTCGTTTACGTCCCACGCGTACGAGAGCGCCGGCAGCGACCCGTTCTTCTCTTCGGAGAAGCCCGCGATCGTGAGGTAGGCCGCCGCGTCCGCGGCGAGGTCGAGGCGGATGGCGCAGCCCGGCGTCCAGGCGATGGGGTTCGCCTGGGACCCGGCGTGCGTGCCGTTCACCTCGTCGAGGTTCGCGGCGATGGCGAAGGTCGCGGCGCACGCGGCGTCGTCGAGCTTCCGGCGCGCGAGCGCCGTCGGGGGCGCGCGGTCCAGAGCCGCGCCGGCGGCGAGCAGCGCGAGCATGGCGCACGAACGAAGCATGCTTCGATCGACGAGCATTCGCAGCTTTGCGGAGGCTGCCCGGTCTGCACCTGAGGTGCTCCGTTTACGGAGCAGTCGTATTGAATCGTTGAAGCGCTTGCCGCAGCTTCGCCTCGCGTGTCGACGCGTGCCAGCTACTGCAGCCGCTCTCTTGCGCCTCGACACCTCGTCGCAGCTCCCCAGGCAGCGATGCGTCGTCTGCTCGTAGCCCTCGCGTGCGTCGCCGCAGCCGCGGCCTTCGTCGTCCCCGCGGCGCCGACCGCGCGCACCGTGGCCCTCCACGCCAAGAAGAGCAAGAACAAGAACAAGGGCGGCGGCGGCGGCCAGAAGCCGCAGGAGAAGAAGAAGGCCCAGGAGGAGCGCTTCGACGCGGCGACGCGCCAGTACATGTTCACGCTCGCGGGCCTCACGAAGAAGGTGCCCGACGGGTCGCGGACGATCCTCGACGGCATCGACCTCTGCTTCTTCCCCGGCGCGAAGATCGGCGTCGTCGGCGCGAACGGCGCGGGCAAATCGTCGCTCATGAAGATCATGGCCGGCGTCGACGGCGAGTTCGACGGCACGGCGCGGCCCGCGCCCGGCGCGTCCGTGGGCTACCTGTCGCAGGAGCCCGAGCTCGCGGGCGAGACCGTGGACGACGCCATCGCGCCCGCCGTCGCCAAGTCGCGGGCCGTGCTCGCGCGCTTCGAGGAGCTCAGCGAGTCCTTCGCGACGCTCGAGGGCGACGCGCTCGACGCGGGCATGGAGGAGCTCGGCAAGATCCAGGACCAGATCGACGCGGGCGATCTGTGGGACCTCGACCGCAAGGTCGACATCGCGTGCGCGGCGCTGCGCTGCCCGCCGCGCGACGCGAAGACGGACGTGCTGAGCGGCGGCGAGAAGCGGCGCGTCGCGCTCGCGCGGCTCCTGCTCGAGGGCCACGACTTGCTGCTCCTCGACGAGCCGACGAACCACCTCGACGCCGAGTCCGTGCAGTGGCTCGAGCGCTACCTGGCGGAGTTCGCGGGGACCGTCGTGACGATCACGCACGACCGCTACTTCCTCGAGAACATCTCGGAGTGGATTTTAGAGCTCGACGGCGGCAGGGGCTACCCCTTCGAGGGCTCGTACGCGGAATGGCTCGCGGACAAGGCCCAGCGGCGCGCGGACGGCAAGAAGAAGGCCGACGCGGCGTCCAAGGCCGCGGACAAGGAGCTCGCGTGGCTCCGGAGCGCCAAGGCCGGCGCGAAGACGAAGGCGCGGCTCAAGAGCTACGACGCTTTAGTCGACGCGGCGACGTCCGACGACGACGCGACGGTCGGCGCGGGCGCGATCTTCATCCCCCCGGGGCCGCGCTTAGGCGAGGAGGTCATCTCCGTGAGCGGCCTCCAGAAGGCCTTTGGGGACCGGGTCCTCATCGACGGCCTCGACTTCGAGATCCCCCGGGGCTCCGTCGTCGGCGTCGTGGGAGCGAACGGCGCGGGCAAGTCGACGCTCGTCAAGATGCTGAGCGGCGCGGAGGCGCCGACGAAGGGCGAGGTCAGGGTCGGCGGCACGGTGCGGCTCGCGACGGTGGACCAGTCGCGGGACCGCCTCGACGCGTTGGCGGACAAGACGATCTTCGACGCGATCGCCGGCGGCCGCGAGACGCTCGACCTGGGCGGCCGCGACGTCAACGCGCGCGCCTACGTCGGCGCCTTCGGCTTCCGGTCCCGGGAGCAGTCGAAGAAGGTCGGCGCGCTCTCCGGCGGCGAGCGGAACCGCGCGTGCCTCGCGGACATCCTCAAGGAGGGCGCGAACGTCATCGTCCTCGACGAGCCGACGAACGACCTCGACGTCGGCACGCTCCGCGCCCTCGAGGAGGCCATCCTCGGCTTCGCGGGCACGGTCCTCGCCGTGAGCCACGACCGCTACTTCCTCGACCGCGTCGCGACGCACATCATCGCCTTCGAGGGCGACGGCAACGTCGTCTTCTACAACGGCAACTGGGCCGAGTACGAGGCCGACCGCACGTCGCGCATGGGCGACGAGGTCTCCTCCTTCAAGTACCGGAAGCTCGTCGAGGCCTAAGGTTGCGACTACACGTAGGCGAGGCCTAAGGTTGCGACTACACGTAGGCGCGACGCGGCTTAGACGTTGGCGCGTTTTCGTGCCTTCAAGCTTCCGGCAACATGCATCGTAAATTGGCAGTGTACCAAGTCTTATTGGCGGCCGGTTTGGCTCCGAGGGGTGGCCTGACACGCGCAGCGGTCGCGCCCGCCGCGATGAATCGGCCGCGGCGCGAGAGCTCGTCGTCGCCGGCGTCGCCGCTGACGCGGGAGAGCTGGCTCTTCAAGTTCCTCTGCGCGGGCCCCCAGTCGCTCCTCCAGTCGGAGCAGTCGACGCACTCCTTCCTCCCGCAGTGGGCGTCGCCGGCGAGCGCGCCCGTGGACGTCGACGCGCCGACGGAGAGGGAGGACGAGAAGGAGGAGGTCGTCGAGCGGAACAACGCGCGCTTCAGCCTGTCCATCGACGGCGACTCCGCGCAGGCCGAGGACATGATCTGGGCGCACGACGAGAAGGAGCTCGCCAAGGTCTGGGGGTCCCTGGAGCGGGAGATCATCGAGGACCGCACGGTGCTCAACGACGCCTTCGTCTTCGCCTGGGTCGCCGTCGTCGTCATCCCCATCATGTGCGCGGCGATGTCGTGCGCGCTGTCGGTGCCGCTGAACTACCGGTCGCACGAGGAGTTCGGCCACACGTTCATGTGGATGATGAGCAACCTCGCGGGCCTCCCGAAGTCGCGGAGCGGCTGGCGCCCGGACACGCTCGCGCGGCGCGTCATCGCCATGGCGACGACGGTCGTCGGCTACGTGCTCATCGCCGCGATCACGGGCCTCGCGTCGCAGCTGCCGCTCGTGGGCCGCGCCGTGCACCAGATCAACCAGTGCGCGGACCATCTGCAATTAGCGACGACGATCGTGCCCCACGTGTTCGGCACGTCCCTCTACGTCCTGATCTTTCCCGTCGGCGCGAACGCGGTCCTCCTGAAGCTCATGGGCGGGGCGACGAACGCGATGACGTTCCGCCAGGCCTACTTCTACATGTTCTCCGCGGTCGTCGGGCTGACGGACCCGCTCACGGAGGTCCACCCCCACACCTTCGCCGAGGAGTTCGCGGCGTGCCTCGGGAGCTTCTCGAATCTGGGGGTGGTAGGCGCGATCATCGGCATCGTCGCGGAGCTCACGGCCGTGCGGAAATCCATGAAGGCCGTCACGAAGGTCGCCGCGGACCGCATCCTCGCCGCGGAGAACAAGTCGCTCCAGCTCATCGAGGAGCGGCGCATCCGCGACCGGCACCTCGACGTCGCGGGCAAGCACACGCTCGCCGAGTCCGTCTACCTCAAGGAGAACGCGGCGCCGCTCAAGGCGCTGAGCTCGGACTACATGGAGGACGACGAAACCGAGGAGCACAAGGAGCCGCAGCCGGCGGAGCCGCGCGCCGAGTACGAGCCGGGCGTCCCGAATCGGGACCGCGTCGACTCCTGCGACAGCCCGTAACCCAAGCGCGACAACCCAAGCGCGACGCCCGCGAGGCGTGCAGCGCAGGTGCTTCCTAATGTACCATTCGAGCGATGCGTAGTTAGGGGTCCGCGCGCGGCCGCCGGTGGTGCTTGTGGCCTGAGGGACGGGTCCATGTCGCCGGCCGCCCGGTCTCTCGGGTCTCGTCGGTCGCGTCCGTCGCCGGCCGCGCGTCGTCTCGTCGCGCCGCCTCTTCGGACCCGTCGGGCGACCGCGGAAGACACCCGGCGCGGTTAGAGCTCCGCTTGCACGCCCTGGCACGAGAGCATCTCCATGGTGAAGACGAGGACGCTGTTCGCGGGGATGTCGGCGCCCATGGCGCGCGACCCGTAGGCGATCTCCGGCGGGCACACGAGCTCCCACTTGGCGCCGACCTTCATCTCCTGCATCGCCTCGGTCCAGGCCTTGATGACCTGGCGCGGCGCGAAGGTCGTCGGCGAGCCGCGCGCGTAGGAGCTGTCGAAGGTCTTGCCGCTCGGGTAGTTGGTCGCGAGGCGGCCCTCGTAGTGGCAGCTGCAGGGCGTCGCGAGGCCCGGCGAGCCGCCCGTGCCGTCCTTGAGCACCTTGTAGATGAGGCCGCTGTCCTTGGTCACGGCGCCCTCCTCGGCGGCGTACTTCTCGAGGAAGGCCTTCTGGTCGGCCGACGCCGCCGTCGCCTTGATGGCGGCGGAGCACTGAGCCAAAGCGAGCAGCAAAAGGGCGCGGAACATCGTGAGCGGCTTGTGGCGCGACCGCTGATTCGGCGAGGCCGACCGTGCCCCATCGATGCAGCAGCCCATGGATGCCACCGAAACCCATCGATGACACGATCACGCACCGCCGCGCTGCTGCTCGCCGTGGCTCCGCTCGCCGGGTGCGCCCTCGAGGGCTACGACCCGTCGGAGTACCTGGCCTACCCGGCCCTCGAGGACCTGGCGCCGCTGCCCGGCGCCCCGACGCTCTGGGACCTCACGGGCGCGAACTGGACGGCGATCTTCGTCGCGCTCGTGACTCAGAGCCTCGCGCGCGCCCCCGAAACGCCGAAGCACGCGGCGAAGAAGTTCGACGTGCTCTACGGCATGGGCCTCCAGAAGTCGGGCACGTCCTCTTTCCACGTCGCGGCGAATCGCATGGGCTACCGGAAGCACAAGAAGGGCGGCACCAACAAGCAAAACAACTTCCGCCACGTCTACGAGGCCCCCGGCCGCCCCGCCGACGAGCGCTTCCACAAGCTCTGGTACCAGGACGGCCACCTGAGCGCGTCGCAGGTCGCGTCCCTCAAACAGGGCCTCGACGACATGACGCTCTTCGAGGACGACCCCTGGTTCGTGCTCCACCGCCTCGCCGACGCCCACTACGGTGAGACGAAGCGGCGCGTCGGCTACGTGCTCACGGTCCGCGACTGCGCCGCGATGGCCGAGTCGTCCGCGGCGTTCAACAACCCCACCACGGGCCTCGGCAACAGCGACGCGTGGAACCGGGAGCACTGCCACCGCCACTACCGCCGCTGCATGGTCCACCTCTTGGACGCCTACCACTTCCTGAAGGACCGGGCGCGCCGGACGCCCCTCGACGACGTCCTCGTGCTCCCCACGACGGCGAAGGCCTCGAAGTCCAACTGGCGCGCGCTCGTCGACTTCGCCTACGACGGCGGCCGCGCGGTCTACGGCAACGGCACGCGCCGCGACGACCCCGCGCGGACCAAGGTGCTCCGCGACTACGCGGACATGCCCCACGCGAACGAGCGCGACCGCAAGAAGCGGCGGACCTACTGCGACGGCGCCGCGCTCGAGGCCTACGCGCGGGCGACGCGCATCGGCGGCGACATCCTCGCGGGCCTGCAGCCGCCGCCGCCGAACTTCGGCCACTGCTCCCGCGCGCCCCAGCTCCCGGCCTGCGTCGCCATGGCGCACCCGGGCCTCGCGGATCGCAAGGCCGAGCCCGAGCCGCCGAAGCGGCGCAAGGCCGGCAAGCGGACGAACCCGCCGCCGCCGCCGCCCAAGGACGAGCCCGCGCGCGGAAAGCGCGGCCGGGACCCGAAGAAGCCGGCCGGGACCCGGGCCTCGCCGCCGCCGCCGCCCGCGAGCCCGAAGCGCGCCGCGCCGCCCCGGCCTCAACCCGCGACGCCGCCGCGCGCCGGCAGGCCGCGGCCCGCGGACGCCGCGCCGCGCGCCGGCAGGCCGCGGCCCGCGGACGCCGCGCCGCGCGCCGGCAAGCGGCCGCGCGACCCGCCCGGCGCGGCGCAGTTCGGCCGCCGCGGCGGCCGGCCCTTCGAGCGCGACGACCGGATGTCCGCGCCGTGGACGAAGCCCCGGGCGGCGGGGCGCAACGGCCGGCCTGCCGTGATCTTCTAACGGCGGCTCGGCCCTTAGGGCGGCGCTACCTCGGGAAGAGGAGCTTCGTCCGCGTCGCGACGAGCGCGCCGAGGAGGAAGGCGCCGAAGACGGCCTCGGGCGAGTAGCCCTTGCGCTTCGGCGGCGGCCGCTTGACGAGCCAGCCGTCGCCGTCGAGCGCGCGGTAGTAGCAGGACGCGCGGCTCCGGCCCTTCTCGTCCTTCGTGTGGCACGCGCCCGCGCGCCGCGGCTTCACGAGGTAGAGGAGCGAGTTCTGCTCGCAGTTGACGCGCACCTCCTTGAGGTCCAGGTAGTCGCCGGACGTCTCGCCCTTGACCCAGAGCTTGCGGCGGCTCGTGCTCCAGAGCACGCAGACGCCGCGGCGCCGCGCCTCCGCGAGCGCGAACTCGTTCGCGTACGCGAGGATGAGCACCTCGCGCGTGTCCACGTCCTGCACGGCGACGGGCACGACGTCGTCGCCGCAGGTCGCCACCTTCTGGATCTTGCGGTAGTCGAGCATGAGCTCGCAGCCCTCCTCGAGCAGCGTGTGATCGTGCGAGCCGCCCATGACCGCCGCGAGCGTCGCAGCGGCGGCGAGGATCGCTGCGGCGGTGTGCGCGCGCGATCGCGGGTGTGCCGCGGCGCGAGCTTAGAGCGGCCTCGAGCCGCGGCGCACTTGCAAGGCGCTTTGCACTCGACGGCAAGGCGGGCGGTCGATCGAGCAAGCTCGCAAAAACGCGATTTCACCGTTCGCATCGGCGGGCGCTATGGCTCGTCTCGCCCTCTCCCTCGCGACGTTCGCCGTCCTCCGGGGCTCGGCGGCTACGGGCCCGACGATCAAGACGGGCAAGGATATCGACAAGGTCGCTCGGGAAGTGGGCGTCGTCAAGCAGGTCACCATCCTCGACACCGTGGACATCTTCGCCATGCAGGGCACATCCGACGCCGCCGTCGTCCACGCGGCGAACATCGTCGCCCAGTACCTCGACAACGACGAGGACGGCGCGCTCGACGATCCGCAGGTCGCCGCGGCGCTCCGAAGCGTCGGCGCGGCGATGTTGATGACCGAGACCGAGGACGACTGGGACTTGGACGCGATGTTCGACGGCTACAGCAAGGGCAAGGTCAACGCCTTCGAGGACGCGCACGATTTCCAGAGCCTCTACGACGAGGAACAAAGTACGCCGGGAACGATATTTCGGCCGACGGCGCGATCGAGGAGGTACTGCACCTCATCACGGGCCGCGGCTACGCGGTGGCCTACCCCGACGTGTGGGGCGAGGAGCCCGGCTCGAGCGTCGCCGCCGCCATCGACGAGGTCATGGGCGACTGCGAGCCCAGTTGGCAGTGCGACGCCGGGCCCGACGCCGACGGCCGGAGCTGCGACGCCGAAGGAGACGACGACCGCGACGAGGACGGAGACGGCGGCCACGACCACCCCGACGAGGACGGAGACGGCGGCGCCGACGAAGGCTCCAACGACGGGGTCCCGAACGGCGAGGACGCGTGCGAGGGCAAGGGGTTCGAGGAGAGCCAGTGCCTGGCCGTGGGGTGCTGCTGGTGGAACGACGGGGAGTGCTGGAGCGCCGTCGGCGAAGACGAGTGCCAGTCGCGACGGCTCGACGAGACCGCCGAGGACGCGTGCGAGGGCAGCTTTCAAGGGCACGCGCTCAACCAGCAGCAGTGCCTGGCCGTCGGTTGCTGCGAGTGGGACCTCGACTTGAACTGCCACGACGGCCACTGCCACGGCGGCTGTTCCAGCGCCGGCAAGCCGACGGCGCCGTGCCGACCGGAACTGAACGGCGAGGAGGCGTGCGAGAACAAGGGCCTCACCAAGACCCAGTGCCGCGCCGTCGGCTGCTGCGACTGGGGCGACGGCGAGTGCTCGAGCGCCATCGGGACCGCGACGTGCCAGACGGGGCCGAAGCCCAAGTGCGCGCACTACGCGGAGTGCCGGTTCTTAGAGGGGTCGTGTTCGGGGGCCTTCCACTACGCGGACGCGACCTGCGACTCCCGCTGCTTGATCACTGAGGGCCTATACTGGGCTCTCACGGCCAAGCTCGGCTACCTGGAGTCGCGCTGCGCCGACATCGCCGACGAGTGGCAGGCGTGCACACCGGCGCTCGTGGCCTCGCTGGCTCCGGCGCTCGACGCGCTCATCGACGCGTCGACGCTCGCCAAGGTCCTTCCCGACGGGACCTACTCCCGCTGGGGGGAGAGCGGCGCGACGACGACGACGACGGCGACCGGCGGCGGTTGCGAGGCTCACAAGAAGAAGCGCCCGTGCAAGCAGGACGAGACGTGCAAATGGAAGAAGCGCAAGTGCCAGGCCAAGAAACCGCCAATCGACTGCACTGCGCTCAAGAAGAAGAAGTGCAAGGCCAAAAAGAACAAGAAGTCCTGCCGCTGGAACAAGAAGGCCAAGGCGTGCGAGGCCAAGTAGAGATCACCGTGGGAGCAACCCCGCCGCGCGCGCGACTCCCGACAGTAAGGGTTACCCAGCCTCGGCCCCGTCCCGGTCCGTGCCGAGGAGGCTGCGGACGTAGGGCAGCGCGAGGACGTTGTCCCGCTCATCCGGCGAGAAGCGGTACTGGCTCGTCTCGTCGAGGGCCATCTGGTACCAGTTGCGGGCGCGCTCGAGCAAATCGATGACCGGGCCCGCCGCGAGGAAGTCGTCGGCGTCGTAGCTCCGGCGCAGCGCGGGCGGCTTGGCCGCGTCGTCGCGCCTCTGGAGCTCGCAGGCGTCGAAGTAGAAGAGCTGCCCGAGCGCGGCGGCGGACGCGGCGACGCCCAACGACGCCGACCGGCCGAGCATCTCGTGGCAGCGCCGCCGCAGCTCCGCGGGCGGGTCCTCGCCGCGGTCGCGCCGCGCCGCGACGTCGTCCGCGAGCGCCTTGCCTACGACGGCCCTCGCGAGCGCCGCGTGGGGCCCCTCGGGCACCTGCTTCACGAGCTCCTCGAGGAGGCGCACGTCGATGGCCGGGTCGCCGCTGCCCCGGCGGCCGCAGCCCCGGCAGGCGACCTTGGTCGAGCCGACGGCGACGACGGCGCCCGTCGCGGGGACGTCCTCGACGTGGCCGCAGTAGGCGCAGAGCGACTTCGTCGGCCGCGGCGGCACGCAGGTCTTCTTGTGCGCGGGCCAGGCCCGGCGCTGGCACTCGGGCGTGCAATACGCGACCTGGCGGCACCGCGCGCAGCGCTTCGGGTAGTGGCAGGGCAGCTGGCAGCCCGCGCAGAAGAAGACGTCGGGACTCAGGCCCGCGCGCTCCCGCCAGCAGCGCCCGGGCCGCGAGTTGCCGGAGCCGCTCCGCGGCCGCGGCGGCGCGTGCGACGCGGACTCGTGCTCCGGCCAGTCGCTCCGCGAGTGAGCCATCGCAACCGGGCTGCATCGATGCGGCCGCATCTACTTGGCTATCTTGCAAGCTTGGCTCGAACGACCGCATCACTGCTCTCGAGCGCGCCGCCCTCCGTGCTGCCGTCCGAGCCCGGAGCATGGGCGCGGAACCGGAGGGTTGCTACGACGCCCCCCCGACGGCGTCGATGAAGCGCAACTTCTCGGGCCAGGTCTGCCGCCCGGAAGGTGCGCCCCCCGCCCCGCGCTCCCTCCCCCCGCCGCTCCGTCGGAAAGCCGCGACCCCGCGCGCCCCAGGCGTTTCCCGCGGCCCGCCCTGCGGCTACCACGCGGGCCAGCGCGTGGACGTGCTCGACACGGTGAAGAAGTGGGCCGAGGCCGAGGTCGTCCGCGTCGACGACGCCGCGCGGCGCCTGCTCGTGACGTACACGTACTGGAGCGACAAGTGGGACGAGTGGCTGCCCGCCGAGAGCCCGCGCATCGCGCCCTTCGGGTCCCGCACCTACCAGCGGGGCGGCGCGCCCACGCCGGGCCAGCGCGTCGAGGCGCTCGACGAGACGGGCGCGTGGCTCGAGGCCGAGGTTCTGGACGCGCGGCCGGGCGCGGCGTTCGTGCACTACAAGGGCTTCCACCGCAAGTTCGACGACTGGGTCGACGTCGGCACGCGGCTCCGGGAGTTCGGGCGGACCCGCGCGCCCCAGCTCCGGAAGCGGCCGCCGCCGCCGCGGCGGACGTACGCCGTGGCCGACGGCCCGGAGACGGACGACGGCGCGCCGCGGCCCGCGGAAGCCGGGGCGCCGGCGCCGCGGGCGCCGCGGCCCCCGCGCGCCGTGCCGGCGACGGGCGACGTCTTCGACCGCTACCAGCGCTGCCTCCGGCGCCGGGGCCTGAGCCTCGTCCGCGTCGACGGCGACGGCAACTGCCTCTTCCGGTCCGTCGCGCACCAGGTCTACGGCGACGACGTGCACCACGACGTCGTGCGCCGCAAGTGCATGGACTACATGGACGCGGAGCAGGCCTTCTTCGAGCCCTACGTCGAGGGCGACGCGTCCGCGTTCCGCCCCGTGTGGAAATCAACCACCGGTTTGGGGGGTCCCCACCAAACTTCAGAACTCTCTAGCTCGGTCAAATCGAAGTCGATTCGGCTGATTTTTGGACGAATCGATTGCTCTCGTCGAGTTCTCGAAGCACGGCAGAAAGCCTTGCGTCGAAACGGTCGCATACGCGCACATTGAAGTCGGGTTGAAGATTTGAGTTCCACGCAGGTTCCGCCGCTACGTCGCCGCGAAGCGCCGCGACGGCGCGTGGGGCGACGAGCCCGAGGTCCAGGCGCTCTGCGAGCTCTACGACCGGCCCGCGGAGATCTGGTCCTACGACGCCGCGGCCAACGCCAAGGCCGGCGGCGCCAAGGTGCTCCGGACCTTCCACGGCGGCGAGCAGGCGTCCGCGGGCGGCGCGATGGCCGTCGGCGACGTCCGCCGCGCGCCCATGCGCCTCTCGTACTACGGCGGCGGCCACTACGACTCCGTCGTGCGCGACGCGGAGCCGCCCCTGCTCTACTGCGAGCCGCCGGGCCAGCTCGAGGACGCGGCGATCCGCCGCGCCCTCGCGCGGAGGCGCGCGGCGGACCCCGCGGCCGCGCGCGGCGCCGAGGCCGCGTCGGACGTCGAGGCGACGGACGCGGCGCGCGTCGCGGCGGCGCTGGAGCTGAGCCGCGGCGAGTTCGAGGCCCACGACGACGACCTCGAGGCGACGCTCCGCGCGTCGCTCGACGCGGCCCAGGACCCGGAGGCGGAGCGCGGCGTGCTCCAGGCCCAGCTCGACGACGCCGCCGTCGCGCGGGCCGAGGAGGAGGAGCTCGCGCGGGCCCTCGCGCTGAGCCAGGAGCCCTGGGCCGCCGACGCGGAGCCCGGCGGCGGCGACGCGGACCTCGCGCGCGCGCTCGCGGACAGCGCGGGCGCCGCGGCGCCGTCGGGCGACGCGGACCTCGCCGCGGCCATCGACCTCTCCGCGCGCGACTCGGGCGAGGACGCGATCCTCGCCGCCGCCATCGCCGCCTCCCTGGAACAGAGGTGATCCCCCCTGCACACGAAAAACCCGTTTCCCCGTTTAATCACCCTCGCTAGCGCCCACGTGGGCTCCTGCGACTCCGACCGCGAGGACACCAGGCCTGCGGAATGCCCGGCGCTAGAGCCCGGCGCCGGCCAACCGTCCGGGTCCGTAACCTGCACGCCACTTGAGCACTGCCAATTACGATCGGGAGCACACTATTCGCCTAAAGGGCGGAGATACGAGTCGTCCATCGAAGAAAAGTGGAAGTGGCCATTTTCTCCAGGGCTGAGCTTGGCGACGGAGAGAGCTAAGTTCACGCTGGCACAAATCGGCGAAGAGGCGCGGACGGCCACTTGCATGAGCACGGTCTTCTTGCGCATCTTCTCGTAGAGATCAAACATCTGGCCCCTCTCGGCCTTGGCGTCGACGAGGATCAGGAGCAGGCCCGCGTGGAACGGCCCGGCATCAGACTTGGCCGCGCACTCGAAGTAGCCGACGATCTGCCCAAAGACGCGGTCTTCCTCGCCTTTGTTCATTTTCAGGGTTTTGCTTCTTTTGTCGAAGTTGGCGATCTTGACCTCCGTGAAGAGTCTCCCCGTTGCGGGTTTCCCGGCCGCAGCAGCTGGGTAAGGCCACCCCCAGGGGCAGTTGAAACCATTCGCAAGGTGAAAAACAAAGTCGGGACGGCCTTCATCATCAGTAACCTGGTCGTATTGGTAGTCCGTTGCCTCGAGTTTCCCAATGGCTCCAAGCTGCTGGCACACCATCTGACAAGCCTGGGCCTCCTGTTTGGGCTCGGGTTTGCCGTGTTTCATCTTAAACTTGACTTCGAGCTTGTGCAGGACGTCTTCCCCCAAAGCCTCTAGCCAACTACGGCCCTCGAACGCCCTCTGTAGAAGCCGCTCCGGGTCGATGCGCCGGCGCGACTCGAGGATGTCGATGCGCTGCGCCTCGACGACAGATTTTTGCATGTAGTTGGCGTTGACTTTTTCGACGAACTCGTTCTTGATCTCCGATTTCAAAGTTTGGAGATACTCTCCCACCTTGGTGCCCTCGAGGTCGTTCACAAGCGCGTCCCCTGCAGCAATCGCCTGCGACGCGACCAGTGGCATCGCATCTCCGCCGTGCAGAAGAAGTTGGACTGCGTGCGCGTCGGACTGTGTCTCGAGATGCGCCGCGCCGTCGTCAGTCCGCGCGCGGGCTGGGCCCTCGCCCGCGGGCTGCTGTGGCGCGTCGCTAGCGGGAGCTGGAGCCTCGACCACGGACGAATTCGGTTTCGGCTTCTTCGCAGGGCGCGGCTCCGGGACGTTGTCCGCCGGCGGCGCGGGCCTCGAGGCGCAGCCGCTTTTGGCGGCGCCGGCGCCGGCGCCGCTCACGGACCACGCCGAGGGCCCGCTCGGCGCCGCGCTCGCGGACGACGCGCGCGCGTGCGCGAGCGTGTCCGCCGCCGCGGCGAGGTACGGCGCGCCGGGCGCCTCGTCTTGGCCGCACATCATCTGCCGCGTGTCCCCGTTACGAGATACCACTTGTACCCCTTGTGCGTAATTCTTTCTAGCGGCGGCACATCTGATTTAGGGAGTCTGTAGTAGTCGCGACACGAGTGCTTTTTTTTATACACCACCTTGTCTATCTTACGGTTTACGTGGTGGAAGCCAACGGGATCATAGCCGTCTGCATAGTCCGGTGGGTTACGCCGCGCATCCGCCACTTGTTTGGCTCCCTCCTCCCAGGGGATGGACTGTAACTCCGCCACTTTTGGGGCTGCCGCTTCGCGGAGTGCGTCGGCCAACACGCTGCTGCCATAAGCTGCACGCTCAAGCCGGCATTGACTGCTGCTTGACTGCTGCTTGAGCTCTACGCCTACGGGCCGACTCACGGCCCGGTTCCTTGGCGCTGCAGCCTCAAGGAGCGCCACTGCGCGCGCCCCCGCGCGACTCGAACGCGGCCATCGTTAATCGTAGTTGCCGCTCACGCCGAGGCTCGCGTCGCGGATGGAGTCGTCGCCGACGACCATGACGCGCTTCCCGTTGTAGAAGTACATGTTGTCCTCCCAGTCGTACTGGAGCACGGGCTGGGCCTCCCGCGGGTTCGGCCGCCGGCCGAACATGCCCGCGTAGGTCGACCGGGGCTCGCGCATCTCCACGGTGCCCCGGTTCTCCATGTAGCCCTCGGTCTCCGCGACGACGGCGCCGTCCTCGAGGAACATGGCCGCGTGGTTGACGACGCGCGCGAAGCGCTCGATGAAGCCGCTCCGCACGGACGACGACGCCATCAAGTTCACGTCGCCGTTGCCCGAGATGGCGCCGTCGGTCCAGTTCAGGTGGCCGTGGACGACCATCGCGCCCCGGTCCAAATTCCGCGTGCCGCTGTGCAGGTTGTTCCGGTGCGTCGCCGCGTACGAGTCGCGCTCCGGGAAGCGCAGCGCGCCGCCGGAGATGATGAGATCTGAGGACAGCGTCACGTTCGCGGCGTCGGCGAGCACCTTGAAGGTGCCGTTGGAGATGGCCACGGAGCTCAGGTCCGCGCGGCGCCCGCGGATCGCCGCCTCGCCTCCGGAGACCGAAACGCTCGGCGCGACGGTCCCCGGCAGCAGCACGCGACCCCCCGACACGCCGACGGACCCGGACCCGCTCAGCGCTCCTCTTTCGAGATCCAGCACGCCGCCGCGCTGCGTCAGGGTGCCGGCGACCACGAAATCGCCGTCGCCGCCGCCGCCGTCGCCGAGCGTCGCCGCGCCGGACGACGCGACCTTGAACTCGCCGCGGTTGAAGAGCGTCGCCTCGAAGATCGCCGCGGACGCGGCGACGTCGACCTCGCCCGCGGCGTCGACGCGCAGCGTCGGCGACGCCTGGCAGAGGTCGCCGCAGGTCGGGTTCGAGTACCAGCCGTTCCGCGCGTCGTCCTCGCGGCCCGGCGTCGCGTCGCGCGCCGTCGCGAAGATCCGCGGGCTCCGGTCGCTGGCGTCGTCGTCGACGGCCAGGCCCTGGGCGACCGTGAGCGTGGCGCCCTCGCCCATGAGCAGATCGCCCTGGGACCAGGACCCGTCGTCGATCTCGACGACGACGGCGTCCCGGAGGTGCGCGGGCTGGAACCGGTCCGGCGCGCCGTCGCCCCGGCTCCCGCGCGGGCACTCGTCGCCGTCGCCGCTCCGGCTGACGCAGGTCGTGATCGTCGTCGTCGACTGGAGCGCGACCTTCCCGTTGCCCCGGAAGCCGCCGTTGCCCGTCCACGTCACCACGCCCTGAAAGCTCAGGCTCGCGGAGGACCCGCCGCCGGCCGCGGCCTGGTCCGCGAGCCGCGGGTTCGCGATGCGGACGTCGCCGCCGTTGATCTCCGACTTGAGCGCCACCGTCGCGGCGAAGTCGCGGTCGCGGTTCTCGGACCAGCGCGCGAGCCCCAAAGCCCCGCGGAAGAACTTGTCCGGCGCGCCGAAGAGCAGCGCCGCGGCGTCGTCGCCCGCGTAGCCCGGCCCCGCGAAGGTTAGGGACCCGGCCTCCATGTAGAGCTTCTGGTACGCCGTCGCCGCGGACGCCGTGACGCCGCGCGCGCGCGCGCCCGTCACGCGGAGCGGCGGCACGAGCGTCGCCGGTAAGGCGTGGAACCCCTCCGCGAGCTCCACGGACGCCGTCCCAAAGTCGCTGAACGTCGTCTCGCCGCCGACGACGACGCGGTCGACGGTGACGGCGACGTCCGTCAGGCACAGGCGCCCCGTCTCCGCCTTGGCGTATTCGGCGATCCCGTGCTTGCACCAGCCCGTCGGCTTCGCGTACTGGCGGCTCACGGCGTCGAAGCAGCCGCAGCCGTTCGCCGACCCGGCGCAGGATAGGGAGAGCGTGCCCACGGTGGCCGTGCCCGCGCGGTCGTAGGCGACCTCGTAGCGGAACCCGAAGTTCCAGCGCCGGCCGCCGTCGCCGTGCCGCGTCACCGTCGCGCCGCCGACGGCCGCGACGTCCGGCAGGCCGTTGACCGCGTCCTGGAACTCGCGCGCCGACGCGTGCCAGGGGATGCAGACGGACTCGTCGGCGCCCGCGGCGAGGCGGTAGGAGCCGCGGGCCGGCGCTAAAAGCTCGCCGTCGCCGTTCTTGTGGTCCGAAAAGCCGTCGATCTTGTACGCGGACACCGTCAGCGGCATCGCGTCGTCCAGCGCGCCAAAGGCCGACTCGAGGGCGCCCTGGCCGAAGGCGTACGTCCCGAAGACGGCCTCGCCCGGCTCGTCCGTGAGCTCCTTGGCGTAGAGCACGTCTTCCCGCGCGACGGGCGCGTCCGCGGACACGTCGACCAAATCGACGGGCGGCGTCCGGAAGGCCAGCGACCGGCCGTTGGCGACGAAGCGGCTGCTCGACGACGCGAGGACGATCGTGGCCCGGCTCAGGTCGCCGCCGCCGTTGGCGTTGCCGTAGCCGTTGCAGCGGAGCGTGCCCGATGCGTGGATCGCCCACTCGGAGACGCCGTTCGACGTGATGCGCATCGCGCCCTCGGAGAGCACGCGCGCGCCGTAGCCGCCGAGGAGCGCGTCCCCGGAGACGCCCCAGGAGCCGGCGGACGTGACCTCGATCCAGGCGCCCAAAGACCCGTAGAGCCGCGCGTCGGAGCCCATGGAGATGGACTGCGCGACGACGAGGCCCGCGTTGACGAGCTCCGGTGTCATCCCCGCGGTGAAGGACATCTTCTTCGGCGTGACGACGCCGCCGCCGGACACGGCGCCGCCCGTGAACGTGAACGTGTTCGCCACCGTCAAATCGTAGGACGTCGTCGCGCCGCGCCGCGTGCACACGAAGGGGAGCCTCTCCGAGCAGAGGTGCGTGCGCCACCGCGGCCGCGGCGGGCTGTAGGGGTCGTAGCCCCGATGCAACAACGCGCCGCAGTTCGCGCCGCCGCGGAACAGGGGCTCGCGCCGCGCCCAGGACCGGTAGAGGGGGTCGTAGAGCACCGCGGCCTCGTCGGCCCAGGCCCACGCGCCGTCGTCCGCGGCCGCGCCGCCCGCGTCGGGCCGGCTCACCTGCTCCCGCGGCGGCGCCGCGCCCGACGCGTTGGCGTAAGAGTCCGTGATGCCGATCCAGCAGGGCTCGGCGCCGGGCGCGAACTCCTCGCCGCGGGACTCCGCGTCGCTGTTCTCGAGGCGGAGGGACGTCGCGTTCGTCGCGGCCGCGCAGAGCAGCGACGCGAGCTGGTTCGTCTCGTCGTCGCCGATGAGGGCGAGGTGGCCCCGGTAGCCGCCGTTGCTCGTGCCGCCGGCGGCGTGGCAGACCTCCTCGGCCTCGAGCCACGTCTTCGGCGTCGCGTACGCGCGGACGCAGCCGTCGAAGGTCAGCGTCGTGCTCCAGCCGTCGGGGCACTCGCTCGACCCGACGACGAGCTCGCCGCCGCTCATCTTGAGGTTGTTGATCGTCGCGTCGCCGGCGAGGTAGACCGTGCCGTCGGCGAGGACCATCGTGTCCGACGAGCCGGGCACCTCGCCGCCGTCCCAGTTGTTCGCCACGTCGAAGTAGCCCACGGCCCCGGCGGTCCACGTCATCGTCGCCGCGTCCGCCAGGGGGAGCGCCGCGACGAGCAGTCGCATCGTCATCGTTTGCTGCTTGAGCTGATGGCTAGCGCGGGGCTGCGCCCATAATCACACCGGCTCTACCGGATACTATTCGTGTTGGACTAGTTGTTGAAGGGGATGCATGCCCGGCCCGACTGCGTCCGTCCGGGGAGGCCCCCGAGGCAGGCCCGCGGAGGGAACCAGACCGAACAGGCGCGGGGCGGCAGCTCCTGCGTGAACTCCAAGGTTTTAGAAGGTCATCCGAGTCTAGCCAAATGGCGGTTCCTCCCCCTCCTCGTCTCAAGGTGCGCGGCGAGCGTAGCAAAGCAACGTGGGGCGGCGGGGCCGATATGCTAGACGCCGGCGGAGACGGAGATCGGGTTGAGGACGTAGTCGCCGTAGCTCGGCAGGTCGCTGTCGGGCTCGTAGCCGCGCGCGACATCGCCGTAGCCGCGCGCCGCGTGGCCCCGCCGCCGCTTGGCCGCGTAGGCGGCGGCGCCGCCGCCGAGGAGCGCGAGCACAATCACAACGGCGACGACAACGGCCATCATTCCGCCGCCCGCGGCCGCCTCGGGCCCTTTTTCGCCGCCGCCGGCGTCGTCGGCGTACTCGCAGACGTAGGCCTTCTTCCCGTCGCAGGGGTGGTCGAACCAGAGGCCGCAGCCGCCGTGGACCGCCATGCAGGCCGCCGCGCCCTCGTCGGGCTCGTCGGCGTCGGCGCCGGCCCACGCGCCGCACCCGGGCGTCGCCGCCGCGCGATCCGCGGTGGCCCAGCGCTCGAAGCCATCGACGGCTCCGCCCGCGCTCCAGCGCCACGCGTCGCCCGCGCCGGCGCCGCCGACCCAGACCGGCGCCGCCGGCGCGACGCGCTCGAGCGCCGCCTGGTCGTCCGCGTCGCGGAGCCCCGCGAGGTCGCCGCCGTCGCCCCGGCACGCGGCGCGCGCGTCGGCCCAGGCGAGCGGCCGCCCGAAGAAGACGAGCGTCTTGCCGCCCGACGCCGACGCGGACCGCGCCTCGGGGCCGCGGTCGCGGTCGCGGCCGCCGCGCGCCCCGCCGCCGCCGCGGCCCGGGTCCGGCGCGGCGCGGTCCGCCGGGTCGACGCCGTCGAGCGGGCAGGCGCAGCCCGCGCAGTCGAAGCCCTCCGCCTCGAGCGTCTCGCACGAGAAGCCCGAGACCGCGGCCGCGTCGCACGTGAACGCCTCGCCGCAGAGGTCCGGCAGCGGGCACGCGTTGAAGGGGCAGCCGCCGGCCTCGGGCGCGGCGGCCTCGGGCGCGGCCGCCTCGGCGTCGGCGACCGCCTCCGGCACGCAGTCGCCGTCGACCAGCGGCCGCAGCTGGCAGACGGACGCGCGCGCGCGGTACTCGAAGTCGCCCGGCCCGCAGCCACTGTCCGTCCAGCGGTCGCCGACGCCCTCGACGTGATAGAAGCAGTCGGCGCCGAGGCTCGCGCAATTTTCGCTCCCGCCCGCGTCGTCGGGTTCGTTCGCCCACCAGTGCTGCCACGACGCCGGCGACCCGTCGGCCCACTGCCACGCGCCCTCGCGCGTCGCGTCGCTGAGGCCGATCCAGAGCGGCACGCATTCCCCGCCGGGCCGCGCGAAGCGCTCGTCGATCCAGCGGGCGACGTTCGCGTCGGGCACCGTCGCGAGGTGGCCGCCGAGGGCGACGCAGTGCCTCGGCGCTCCGCCAGCTCAGCGGCGCCGCGTTCAGCGCGAGCGGGCACGCGTCCGCGTCGACGCCCGGCGCGGGCGCCGCCGGGTCGATGCAGCACGTGCTCACGCGGCCGTCCGCGAAGCCCCGGCCGCAGCCGACGACGCCCGCCGCGTAGACGTAGCCCTCGGCGCAGAACGCGTCGTCCGGCGCCGCGCAGCAGTCGTCGTCGACCCCGCCCGAGCCGTACTCGCCGCACGCCGCCGCGTGGCACTGCGACTCGACGACGGCGGCCTCGCCGTCGTCGGCGTCGGGCGCCGCCCAGGCCGCCTCGGCCGCGGCGGCCGCGGCGTCGGCGGCGCACGCGCAGCCGCCGCAGCCGTAGCCCGCAGCTTCGAGCATCCCACACGTGTAGCCGAACCGCGCCGCGTCGTCGCAGGTGAAGGTCCCCGCGCACACGCCCGCGGGGCAGGGGTTCGCAGAGCAGACGCCGCCGCCGGCTCCTCCCGCGCCGGCGCAGTCTCCGGCCGCGAGGGGGCGGAGCTGGCACAGCGCTCCGCGCGGCGTGTAGTCGGCGCCGGCGGCGTCGCAGCCGCTGTCGACCCACTCGTCGGCGACGCCGCGCCACCCGTGGACGCAGTCGACGCCCATGCTCGCGCAGTCCGCGCCCCGGGCGCCGTTCGCGGAGTCGTCGGGCTCGCCGGGCCACCAGCGCTCGTAGCCGCCGACGGAGCCGTCGGCCCAGGCCCAGACGCCCTCTTCCTCACGGTCGTTGTAGCCGATCCACGCGGGCCGGCAGCCGCCGCGGGCGCGCACGAAGTGGGCGCTCGCGTACGCCGACGCCGCGGCATCGGGAAGCGTCGCGAGGTGGCCGCCGAGCGAGACGCACGTCGCCTCGGCGTCGGCCCAGGTGCCCGCCGCGGGGACGAAGGCGAGCGGGCAGGACGCGTCGGGCGCCGCCTCGACGGCCCGCGGCGTCGGCGCGGCCGTCGGCGCGGCCGCGGCGCCCGCGGCGCCCGCGGCGGCGCCCGCGAGCTCGACCTCGCAGAGGCAGCGGAAGCTCTGGCCGCAGGGCGCGTCGTACCAGCGCATGGACCCCCAGACGCCAAAGGCCGCGCAGTCCTCCTCGAGCCCGAGGAACTGGTTCGGCTCGCCCGCCGCCCAGCCGTCGTAGCCGTAGCGGTCCGCGGACGCGCAGCCCGCGTCCCAGCCGGCGGCCCCGTCGCCGGACCAGCCGTCGTCGGCGTCCGGGTCCTGGCGGAGGCCGAGCCACGCGCAGCACGACGTGTCCTTCGTGCCCGGCGTCCAGTTGCAGCACTCGTACGCGGCCGCGAAGCGGCCGTCGGTCGACACCGCGGCGAACTCCGCCTCGTTGGCCGGGCACGCGGGGGCGGCCGCGGGCCACGTCGGCGGCAGCGCGGCCGCGCAGCGCGCGTCGCACTCGTCGCGCGGGCCCGACCCCGCGAGCCCGAAGCAGCGGCCGCCGACGCCGCGCCAGCCCTCGGGGCACGCGGCCCGCGCGGCGGCCTCGGGGTGCTCGCAGACGTAGGGCCGCGGGTCCGCGCAGTTCGCGTCGAACCACAGGCCGCAGTGCTCGTAGGCGCCCATGCAGTCCTCGCCCGCGCCCCAGTCGTTCGGCTCCGACTCGCCCGCGTGGCCGCCGCAGCCGGGGAACGCGGCGGCCCGGTCGGGCGTGAGCCAGTTCTCAAAGGCCTGCGTCGCGCCCGAGGACGGCGGCAGCACGCCGCCGTCCTCCGCGTCCCACGCCCAGACGCCCTCCGTCGCGCCGTCGCTGCCCCCGATCCACACGGCCTGGGACCCCATGGTCGTCGCGAGCACGGCCTGCTCCGCCGCGTCCTCGACCTTGGCGAGGCGGCCGCCGGCGGCGCGACACGCCACGGCCGCGTCGGGCCAGGACAGGGGCGCCTCGTGGAGGATGAAGTTGTGGGCCCCGGCGACGCCGAGAGTGGCGGCGGCGGCGGCGACGACGCGGGGCCGCGCCATGCTCGGTGTGCGGAACACGCGCGCCGCCGCTCCGCGAAGGATGGATCCAGTCGGGCAGCCCCGCCGAATGGCAGCCCAGTTGGACTAGTTATTGAAGGGGGTGCGCACCCGAAGATCCCGCCCGGAGGCTCAGACGGAGGCGTAGCCGGGGGGTTGGCGTTCCCACACCGGCCCCTTCCTCCGACCCAAAGATCGCGCGTGCACTCGGATCGGAGGTGTGGCGGCGGTACACTCGCGCCAAGCCTGGTACCGACCGCCACGCCGAGAGCACGCCGGGATTGGCGCCGGGCGGCAGCTCCTGAGTCGCCTCATTCAGACGACACTCTCACCGGACTCTCCGTGGACCGGGGGAGGTTGAGACCGCGGGCACTCGCACGCAAACGAGCAGGAACTCCGGCTCGACCAGGCCGATTCACCTCAGGACCACGAGTGGCTAGCCGAGGGCGCACGCCGAAAAGGACACCCGTAGTCAGCGGGACCGAAGAGAGCAGACTCTCAGGCTGAGAGAGGCCGACGAAGAGAGCGAAGACGCCGACGCCGACGGAGCCGCACACAGCGCCACGCTACGAAGAGACGCTGCAGAATGCAGAGAAACGAATGGACACGGGCACATCGAAGCCCGCACACCGAAGCCATCGAGGGCGCCGACCCCACCAGCTCCCCCCAAGACCAGTTGCTTGCAAGCTGACGTTCAACGCTCTGTTGCTTAACCCGCCGATGCGACTGACATCGTGCTCGACCTCCAGAGGCGTCGGCACGCGCTAGCACGCATCGCACCCAATCGATGCAAATATCCGCGATCGCGCTGGCCGCGTGCACCATGTCCGCGCACGCCCTGACGGCGCCGGTGGGCCGGAAGATGGCGGTCATCTTCGACATCGACGGCACCATGAGCGACAGCTTCCAGCTCGGCTTCGGCGCCACGAACACGGTGCTCGCCGCCAACGACTACCCGACCATCGACGCGGCGCAGTACCACGAGGGCTGCGTCTACACGACGCCCGTGCGGCTCTCGCGGCACGCCGTCGGCGCGTACGACGAGGCGCTCGGCGCGCGGCTCGGCGGCGAGTTCGATCGCACCTACATCGCGCTCGTCGACGCCGAGACCGCGGGCTTCTACCCGGGCGTCGGCGACCTCGTCGCGCGCATCGGCGGCGCCGGCGCGGCGCTCGGCGCGCTGACGAACGCCGCCGTGCTCTACGCCGAGGCCGTGCTCGCCGCGAACGGCGTCCGCGCGTCCTTCGGCAGCGCCCAGGGCGCCGACAGCGTGCCCGCGGCGAAGCCCCGGCCCGACGGCCTGCTCCAGGTCGCGCGCGAGCTCGGCGTGCCGCCGGAGCGCTGCGTCTACGTCGGCGACGCGCCCTCGGACGGCGCCGCCGCGCGCGGCGCGGGCTTCGGCCTGTCCGTGGGCTGCGCCTACGGCTCCCACGCGGAGGCGAAGCTCGTCGACTGCGGCCACTTTGACGTCATCTGCCGCACCGTCGACGACGTCGCCGCGGCCCTCTTCCCCGAGGGCCACGGGGGGGACGGCGCGGCCCTCGAGGCCGCGATCGACGCGAGGGCGGCGCGATAAGAACTGGGTCTTCCGCCGCGCGTGCGCACGTGGGGTCGTTCGAATCGGCGCAAGACGAACGCCCCGCGGACACGAGGCGCGATCGGGGGCGGTTACGCGCGAGGGCCGCTAGTTCTTCCGCCGCGTGAGGTGGTCGAAGATGACGACCTGGAGGTACTCGGGCGTCTTGAGCTCGTTGCGGCTCGAGTTGTCGCCCGGGTTCTGCTTCGGGTCCACGTTGATGACCTTGCGGTCGCGCTTGTTTTTGAAGAGGAGGCCGTCGGAGTCGGCGATGACCTGGAAGTTGGGCGTCGAGTTGTGCGTCGACGTCTGCGTCTCCCAGTTGTAGTAGGACAGGTCCGTGGGCTTGGGCATGAGGCGCTTCTGGCCCTTGAAGTAGGGCTCGAAGTTCTCCGTCTTCAGGCGGTGCGCGTAGTCGATGTAGCCGCTGACCTCCTGGCCCTTGGCGTTCTTGTCGCGGAGGAAGATGATGGACGTGAGCTTGCCGTTGCGCACGAGGGCCTCGCGGTTCGCGAGGGCGAGGAGGAAGGGCTGCGCGCTCAGGTCCTTGTTCGCCGACGCGAGCTGCTTGGGCACGTTCGCCTTCTGCGTGCCGCGCTCGCGGAGCGCGCGCTTCCGGGCCTCGAACTCGTCGCGCTTGAGCGTGTCGCCGGAGCCGCGGTAGCCGAGCTCGACGAGCTGGCGCGCGAGCTCCTCGTCCTCCAGGTAGTACATGTCCGTCTCCGACACCTGGGCGTCGAGGTAGTCCTCGTAGGACGCGAACTGCTCCAGCGAATCGCCGCCGAGGCCGCCGCCGTCGTACTCGCCGCGCATCATGGTCTTTGGGCCGCGGGGGCGAGCTGCCGGCGCGCCTGGACCGTCGGGGGCTGCCGGTCCGTGTCGTTATCGGCGCCTCGGACGGGGTGCGAAAGGCAAGGTAGGGATACGGGAAATTCACCTTGGCGCGCCGCAGTTCGAATCGTTGCGAGGTGCACTCGAGCCGCGCCTCCAACGACGTCGTGCTGGCCACCGCGCACGGCCCTCCTGCGCACCCCGTGACCTCACAGAACGCAGAACCGACCCCCGCGATGGACTGGGACGACATGGACGACGAGTGCGCGGCGACGCAGCTCGTGCCGCCGACGCAGAGCGCGGCGTGCGACATCGACGACGACGACGCGGGCGCGTTCGACGACGAGTGCGCGGCGACGCAGCTCGTGCCGCCGTCGCAGGGCCTCGACGACGAGGACGACGCGGGGTTCGGCGAGTCGCTCCCGGAGGACTCGGCGCTCGAGTTCAACGCGGCGATGTCGCAGGACGAGGACGCGGCGGAGCCGGCGGCGGCGCGCGCGCCCGAGGCGGCGGCCGACGACGAGCCCATCTCGGAGGACGACGAGCCCATCTCGGAGGACGACGAGCCCGCCGCGGCGGGCGGCGCGCCCCCGGCGGGCGGCGCCGCCGCGGTGTCGCCGCCGGCGTCGCCCGGCGCGGCGTCGGAGCTCGCGCCGGAGCCGCGCGACGAGCGCGAGCCCGAGGAGGCGCCCGCCGACGACGCGGCGATGGAGGCCTGGATCCGGGCCCACGCGGCGTCGGGCGAGAGCAACACGATCAAGGAGGTCTACGCGGCCGTCGCGGACCACTTCGGCGTCGAGCTCACGAAGGAGAAGAAGAAGTGGATCAAGCGCGTCATGACCGAGGCGCTCAACGGCGGCGACGAGGAGGAGGAGGTGGCGCCCGCCGAGGAGGCGGAGGCGGAGGCGGAGGACGACGACTTCGGCGACGAGTTCGACGAGCGGCCGAAGAAGAAGACGTCGAAGTCGAAGCGCGCGAGCGCCGACGGCGACGAGCCCCGGATGGTCAAGCTGAGCGGCTACCTCCACTTCTCCAACGAGTCGCGCGCGGCGACGCGCGCCGAGGTCGAGGAGGACCCGGCGAACGAGGGCCTCGACAAGAAGGACCTGAACAAGCGCGTCATGGCCAAGCTCGGCGAGAAGTGGAAGGCGCTCGACGCGGACGCGCAGCGGGCCTACAAGGACGCCGCGCCCCTCGTCGCGCGCAAGAAGGGCAAGGGCAAGCGCGCAAGCGCCGCGTCGGCGCCCGAGGAGGCCTTCGACGCCGCGGCCGAGGCCGACGCGTACGACGCGCTCGCGTCCGCGCCGGCGGCGCCCGCGGCGCCGACGAACGAGGAGCTCGCGGAGGAGGCCGAGGAGGCCGAGGCCGTCAAGCAGCGCGAGGCCATCGAGGCGGCCCTGGCGGACCAGGAGCGCGAGGCCCTCGCGGAGCTCGCGGTGGAGAAGGCCGCGCTCGCGGCGAAGCTCGCGGACCGCTTCGCGGCGGAGGAGCGCCGCGCGGAGCTCGAGGCGCGCGCGACGCTCGCGCGGCTCCTCGAGGACGGCAAGGCCGACTCGGGCTCCGAGAGCGACTGCAGCCTCGAGATCGTCGGCGCGCCGCCCGCGGCCGCGGCCGCGGCGGCCGCGCTGCCGTCGCCGACGAAGGTGTCGACGGCGCGCGCGCTCTCCGCGCGGAAGAAGCTCCGGGCCGGCGGCCGCCGCGCGCTGCGCAAGAAGCTCGCGCGCGCCGTCACGCGCGTCGGCATGGTCAACTTCGCGGAGCAGGTCGCGGCGGAGGACGGCGTCGACCCGGACTCGTACGCGCGCCACCTCCAGGCGCTCGAGGCGCAGCGCGTCGTCGACGCGCGCGACGCGGAGCGCCGGGACCGCGAGGAGCGCGACCTCGAGCAGCGCCTCAGCGACGAGCGCCGCGCGTCCATCTGGGGCGCCGACGAGGAGGACGACGGCGAGGAGGAGTTCGAGGCGCCCGCGGACGACGCCGCGGTCGACCGCGCGGCCGCGCAGGACGCCGTCGCCGCCGCGCTCGCGGCCGCCGCCGAGGCCGAGGTCGCGGCCGCCGCCGAGGCCGCGGCGGCGCCCGCCGAGGCCGCCGCGCCGGACGCGCTCCCGGACTTCGCCGCCGCGGACGACGCCGCGGAGGTCCCGGAGGCCGACGCCTCCGAGCCCGCCGCGGAGCCCGCCGTCCCGGAGGCCGCGACCCTCGAGGCGACGCTCGAGGTCCCGGACACGCTCGAGGTCCCGGAGGTCGCGACCCTCGAGGCGACGCTCGAGGTCCCGGACACGCTCGAGGCCGACGCGCCCGACGCCGCCGCGGCGCCCGACGCCATGGAGGTCGACGCGCCCGACGCCGCGCCGGCGCCCGCCGAGGAGGCCGACGACGACGACGCCGACGCCGACGCCGCGCCGGCCGTGGACCGCAACGCGGCGTACAAGGCGGCGCTGCTCGCGGACGCTCGGCGCGCGACGAAGCGGAGCCACGTGGGCATCGAGGGCGAGGCCGAGGAGAGCGACGAGGAGGACGGCGGCCAGATGGGCCTCGGCGACTTCGGCTTCGGCGTGTCGAGCAAGAAGCCCAAGAAGGGCGACGACCCCGACGAGAAGGAGGACCTCGAGGTCACCGCGGAGGACCTCGAGGCCATCGTCGACGAGCTCAGCGACGGCGAGGGCGACGAGGCCGGCGCCGAGGCCCACCGGCTCCAGCAGGACCGGAAAACGGAGCGCGAGGAGATGGCGGCCATGCTCCAGCGCGTCCGCGACGGCTTCGGCTCCGAGGCGGCCGGCGGCGGCAACCGCGGCGCGTTCCGCCTCGCGGACCTCGTGGGCATGGACAAGGCGGCCAAGGCCGAGGCGAAGCGCCTGGGCCTGGGCGAGAGCGACGACGAGGTCGAGAAGCTGCGCCGGGGCTCCGACGGCGAGGAGAGCGACGACGACGACGACGACGGCGGCGACGAGGAGCGCGGCCTCGCCGCGCTCATCTCGCAGGAGCTCAAGAACCGCCACCTCGGCGCGCGGCTCAAGGCCGCGAAGCGCGACGAGATCCAGGTCTCCGACTCCGAGTCGGACGACGACGACGACGCGGCGCCGGCGATCGGCGGCGACGGCAGCGACGACGACGAGTCCGAGGCGGCCATCGCGCGGCGCGCCAAGACCTTCGCGCGGCGCGCGAAGATGCGCCGCGCGCTGGCGGAGAAGGCGCACCGCGACCGCGAGGACCGCGCGGCGAGCGGCGACGCCAAGTGCGAGATGGCCGCGCTCCTCGAGGCCGACGAGGACTCGCAGCTCATCCTCTCCATGCTCCAGCGGTCCCAGTCGTCGTCGGTCCCGTCGGCGCCGCCCCTGAGCCGCCAGGGCTCGCTCCTCCGCCAGCCGTCGCTCGCGCGGACCGCGTCGTCCGCGTCCGACGGCGGCCGCGCCGCCAAGAAGCCGCGCCTCGGCGCGGGCGTCGACGCGGACGCGCGCGACACGCTCCTGGACCGCTGCGGCTCCTTCTTCGCGACGCTCAATCGCGCGGGCTCGCGGTCCCACGCGCCCACGGCCAAGGCCCACGCGTCGCGCGCGGGCCGCGGCGCCGCCGCGTCGATCTCGTCGCTCTTCGGCGGCGACAACTCCAACAGCCAGTTCGGCTTCGCCAACTCGCGGTCCAACCTCCCGCCGGCGTCGTCGTCGAACCAGCCCCAGGGCGACAAGATCGTCGGCGGCGGCGCGCCGAAGCAGCCCATCTGGGCCGCCATCTCCAAGGCCTAGCGGCGCGCGTCCCCGTAACGAAAGCTGCCGCTCGCGTAAGTTCCCGGGGTTCGAGACCCGCAGTCGGTACAAGCGGGACGGTGCCGCACAGTGCTAGGTGGCACGCAGCCACGTCTTTACGTTCAAAACCCGCCGAAGGACGCGATGAGCGCGGCCGCGGGGTCTGTGCCGCCGGCGCTCGACCGCTGCGCGAGGGCGCTGCGGAGCGCGTGGCGGCTCTCGGCGCGCACCGTGGACCGGTCGAGGTCGCGCGCGTCCGGGTTGAGGCGCACCAACGCGCGGTCGACGCACGTCGCCGGGGCGCCGCCGGCCGCGAGGCACCGCTGCCAGCAGCGCCAGTCCTGGCCGTAGGGCTCGTCGCCGAAGCCGCCCGCCGCCGCGAGGCGCGCGCGCGACAGGAGGACGGACGAGCAGACGACGCGGTTCCGGTCCGCGACGTGCTGGCCGACGAAGCGCCGCGGCAGGGCGTCGGCCGGGTCGTCGCCGAGCGCGCGGCAGCAGCAGAAGTCGGACCCGTCGGCCGCGAGGGCCTGGAGCTGCTCCGCGAGCTTCGTCGGCGCCCACTCGTCGTCGTCGTCGAGGAACGCGAGCCAGTCGCCGCGCGCGGCGGCGACGCCGCCGTTGCGGACGACGCCGGGCCTCCCGCCGCTGTGCGCGCCGAGCGCCACGGCGCGCACGGCCGGGCCCCAGGCGTGGGCCGGCGCCGCCGGGCCGTCGAAGACGACGACGACCTCGTCGGGCGGGCGGCTCTGGCCCAGGGCCGACGCGACGGCGCGCTCGAGGGCCGCGGGCTTCGTGCCGCGCGTCGGGATGACGACGCTCACGCACTTATGGGCGATGCCCAGGGACGCCATGGACTGCTCGAGGGACGCCATCGGAGCGGTGGGGTGCACGCGGTCGGAGGTGCGGCGGGGTGCACGCGCGCGAGACGAGCTGCGACGGCGCGGGTCGACTGCCACTCGGGCCGAGCGAGCTGTGGCAACATCCTCGAGGGTGCAAAGCAATCGCGAAATCGCGACGCACTTCGAGCTGCGGATAGCGCGCTATAAAACTCCCTCTCCGCGCCCCGGCTCGTCGAGAATCGGTGATGGTCCCGGCGGCGGCGCGCTCCACATGACGACGGTGGCGCGGACGGGGCGGCTCCCGGCCTGCGGCGGGCGGTCCGGGCGGCCGGGCTCGCGGGGCTACGGCCCGACGGTGAGCGGCCCCGTGGCGCCCCAATCGTCGCGGAAGCGGCCGCCGAGCTCGCCGCACGCGAGCCGGCGCCCCGGCGGGCCGAGCCGGCCCGGGTCGCGGGGCGGCGGCCGCGAGCCGGCGCGGGGCGGCGGCGGCGCGCCGCAGCGCCAGGTCTGCCTCATGTTCAGCGACCAGCTGCCGGTGTGCCGGCCGCAGTTCGGGCTGCTCGACAAGGACTTCACGCCCGGCGGCGAGCTCCCCGGGAGCTCGCGCGGGCGCGCGGCCGGGGGCGCCGGCGCGCCGGCGGAGCGGCCGCCGAGCCGCGCGGGCTCCGACTCGCCCTTCTCGACGCAGCTCGACCGGCGGCGCCCGAACACCACCGCGGGCCGCTTCGCGACCGCGCGCTGGGGCCAGCCGAGCCACAACATCTCGACGAACCTCTGGCCCAGCGCCGGCGGCGGCGCCTTCCCCGAGCCGCCGCGGCAGCGCCGGCCCATGACGTCCGCGGGCGCGGCGTCGGCGCGCGACTTCGATCCCAACAAGGCCGCGACGACGCTCATCACCATGTCCGTCCTCCCGACCATCTCCCTCGCCGAGTGACCGCGCGAAAGCGCGCGCCGGGACTAATGCGGGTGCTGGTGTCGCGTGGCTGGGGGTGGGGGGTCGGAGGGCCGACGGCTCGCTGAAGTGCTCGCTGCGAAGAAGTCTGCGACGGGCCGACGGCCCAGCCTGGCGCGGCGCGCCCGCGCTTCGCCGCAAGGCTGTGGCATTTCGGCAATTTTTCCGTGTCATGGGACGGCCGGGTAAAAAAAAGAAAGGAAAAAAAAAAGAAAAAAATGAGGCGCCGAAGGCGCCGAAGGCGCCGACAGGCGCCGGGGCGCGCGAGGCGCGCGACGGCGCGCCCCACGCGGACTTTCCCCGTCGTTAGGACTCGGGTATTTATCCAAGAGACGACGTTCCAAAGCCGCGTGCTAGCTCGCGTCCGCGGCCCCGCGCGCCTTCCTCCGGCGCGCGGTGCGGTTTTTGTTGTCCCTCTGGCGGAAGTCGGGGTCTTTGCGTTGCTTCCTCTTCTTTTCCCGCTCCCGCTTCCTTTTCTTGGCGCTCTGCGTGAGGTCCGCGGCGGGCGGCGACTGCGGCGCGGCGACGGGCGACGGCGGGGCGGCGGGCGACGGCGGGGCGAAGGGCGGGGCGGCGGGCGACGGCGGGGCGAAGGGCGGGGCGGCGGGCGACGGCGAGGCGGCGGGCGGGGGCGGGGCGATGATGACAGGGCCGGCGAGTGGAGCCGCTTCGGCGCCCGGAAGTTCGTAGCGGCCGGTCGACAGGTTTGGCGGAAGAAATCGGAGGTCCGCGGCCTGGGGCGTCGGCGCGCCTCGATGGTGCCGAAGCTCCTGCTGGAAGTCCAAGAACCCCGCGTCTCGGAGGTCCCGGAAGGTCGCGGTCTCGGCGGCGATGCCCTCCGCGACACCGCGGGCCGTGTCGTCGAGCAGAAGAAGCCCGTCGCGGAGCGCCGCGCGCGACATCTCGACCGGGTCCGTCAGGAGGTTCGGGTCCGCGGCGAGGCGCCGGATGTCGTCCGCGGTTCGCCGGAGGCGCAGGGGCGGGCCGCCGAGCACGTCGCCGAGCCACTCGGACTCGGAGCGGCGAGTGCTCGGCGGCGACGTTCGCGCGGCGCCGGCGCGCGGCGCCTGCGGGGTCGTCGCCGCGGGCGTGGGGGCGTTGAACATCCCGGGGGCGATCGCTGCGGCGCGGCCCCTGATGACCTGGGTGTTGTAGTGGATGCCGTGGTAGAGCACGGGCTTCGTGTAGGGCGTCCGCCGCCAGCCGGGCCGCGGCGACGCGGCCATGACGCCGCGCTCCACGAGGCCCTCGACCTGCGCCGCCAACTTGTCCTCGAGGAACACGTCGTAGTGGCGGAAGCGGTGGGGCAGCGCGCCGCGCTGCTTGAGGGCGCGGATGATCCACCGGAAGTCGAACTCGTTCATCACGACGTCGTGCCAGCGCGGCCCCGCCTTCAAGGAGCTCGCCTTGCGCGTTTCCCTCAGGTGGAGGTGGTAGCCCTCGAGCGGGGACGACGTGCGGAGGCAGCGGTAGACGACGAAGCCCGTCGCGAGCTTCTTCTTGGGCACGTAGAGCTCGACGTCCGGGTGGTCCGACAGGTAGCCCTTGCGCACGTAGCGCATCTCGTTGTCGAACCGCTTCTTGTGGCCCGCGCGGAAGAAGGCCTGGCCCGTCTCGGCGTCCTTCAGGCCCTTGAAGAAGTCGTAGACCTTGGTGAGGTCGCGCTCGAGCACGTCGGGCTCGGGGATGAACCGTCGAACCATTCGTCGCACGTACCGCCGCGGGATCTTCTTGATCTGGTCCTCGGCCATGCCGCGGCGCCGCAGGTGCGCGTTGAGGCGGTCCAACTCGCCTTCCCTGATCTTGTACACCGCGTCCGAGGTCGCCGTGCAAAAGTACTTGTAGAGGGTCGAGTTCTTGGACACGGCGAGCAGAAACCAGTTCGCCATCCAGTGGCGAGGGTCGTACTTGATGCGTAGCCCTCGGAGCCGGCGGAGCCGTTGGCGAAGCTGCTCCTCCGCGGGCGCGCCGTCGGCCGGTTCGAGCGTCGCGGCGGGCGTCGCGGACGAGCGCTCGGGCCGCGAGATCACGAGGTGCCGGTCGACGCACTCGTCGCCGACGCTCTCGCTGTTGAGGCCCAGGTCGCGAGCGAGCTCGTGGATGTCGCGCCGGACGCTCTTGTCGAGGAACGTCGGGAGCTCCAGCGACCCCGCGACGTTCTTGCGCTCGTACTCGACGACGAGCTTCGTCGCCGCGGCGAGCACGGAGTCGGGCGCCTCCTGCTCGACGTCGTCGTTGGGCAGGTCGCCGGCGTCGTCCGCGCCGTCGTCCGCGCCGTCGTCCGCCGCGCCGTCGTCCGCCGCGCCGTCGTCCGCGCCGTCGTCCGCCGCGCCGTCGTCCCCGCCGTCGAGCTCCGCGGCGCCGTCGGCGAGGACACGACCCTCGGCGTCGCCATCTAGCTCGGCGTCGCCGTCCGCTTCGGCATCGCCGTCGTCCTGGGCCGCGGCTCGGTCGCGCGGCGCGACCCAAACCCAGCCCCGGAGCTTCGGGTCCAAGAGCGCCGCGTGGACCATGAACGTCGCGGCGGCGTCGTTCGCCGCGTACTGCTGCGCGTCCTGGTCCAGCGGCCACTCGTCCCATCGCCCGTAGCGGCCGCCGCCGCCGAGCTCCTTGTCGAGCGTCCGGTTGAGGAGCTCCATCACCAAGTCCGCGAGGGACCAGCGGCGCTTCTGGCTCTTCAGCGTGTCGTTCGCGAGGTCGGAGAGCTCGATGATCTCGCCCTTGACCTCCACGCCCTCGTACTGCTTCGTCAGGCGCGTGATGTCGCCCTGGAAGTTGACGCCGATCTTCTCGATGCCCTCGTTCCGGAGGATGGCCGCGAGCCCCGCGGGGACCGAGTCCTTGACGCGCCAGAGGTACACGACGTCCTTGACGCCGATCTGGATGACCCTGATGTTGGAGAGCGGCTGCGCGCGCCACTCCATGTCGACCGCGACGCGGCGGACGTCGCGGAGAGCCGCGAGCGCCCGCGCGTCGCCCGCCGCGTCGTCGATGCAGACCACGGGCCCGGACCAGGAGAACTTCTCCGGCGCCGACGTGTCCTTGAGCGAGTCGAAGCGCCGCAGGACGCCGCCGGCGTCCCTCGCCGGGTTGTCGAGGAAGCAGAGCTTCGGCGGCGCGCGGCCGTCGACGAGGAGCGTGCCGTAGCAGTTGGCCGCCTTGACGAAGGCCTCGTCGTCCATGGAGGTCGTCGCCGTCGACAGCGCGATCATCGGCGCGCCCAGCTCGTTCGACCAGACCGTGAGCCGGTTCTTCGAGACCTTCTCCTGGGCGACCTTCTGGCCCTTGAGGGTCTTGAGCGTGTGGTCGACGGCGATGATCGCGCCGCCGGCACACCGCTTCCGACGCGTCGACCACGAAGCGCCGGACGAGCTTGTGGCCCGGCGAGCACGTCTGGAACTTCATGACCTCGTCGACGAAGTTGGGCAGCGTCGCGCGGTTGAGCGCGGTCGCGTGGTGAAATAGGCGCTGCCCCGGCGCCGTGGCGTCGGAGATGGCGCCCGTCGCGTTGAGCAGGCTCCGCGTGAGCGCCAGGTCCTTCGTCTCGGCGAGCAGGTTCGAGATGTTGTTCGGGTTCATGCCCGAGTTGACGAGCGGCTTCACGATATCGGCGAGCGTGCGCGTCATGGCGGTTCTCCTGGTGGTGATGACGAAGTCTTGCTTGGCCATGAAGCCGGGGTACTTCTCCTCGTACAGCCGCACGGACTCGACGCTGTAGGACTCGAACTTGTAGCGGTAGCCCTTCATGAAGACCTTCATGAACTCCTTGTCCCGCTTCTTCTCCTCGGGCGCCTTCGACCGGCGCGTCTTGCACTTGCCCTCGCACGTCTTGCACTTGAGCGTGGGGCCCATCACCCAGTCATCCTTGGAGATGCCGACGACCCTCCGGCCGTCGTTGTTCCAGCCGTCGGACACGATCGTGCTGTTCCAGCCGCAGCCGTAGCAGCAGGGCGGCTTCGGCTTGCCGTCCGTGAGGTGGGGGGCGAAGATGTGGATCTTCATCGCGCCCAGGAACGTCGGCTCGAGGTCGGGGTCCGGGGGCTCGAACGTGGCGCGGCGCCGCTGGGCGAGCACGTTCGACGGGCCGCTGGTCGCGCCCTTCACGTCCTTCTTGACCTTATCGATCCAGAGCCTCTGGCCGAGCGGGATCTTGTAGTAGGTCGGGTTCTCCGTCACGATCTCCTCGTCCTCGTCCTCGGCGCCGTCGTCCGAGTCCTCGTCCGCGGCGTTGGCCGGCAGCGCGCCCGACATAATCCGCGGCGCCGCGACGCGCGCGGCCTTCGCCGTCGTGCCCACGGGCGGCCGCGCCGGCGCAGCGTGGTGCTCCGCGTCCTGCGCTACTGCGCGCGCCAGCGCCGGCCCCTCGAGCACGCGCTTCTTCTTGCGGAGACCCGCGTTGGCCGCGGGCAACTTGCCCTCCTGCAGCTCCTTGAGCTGGCCCTCGAGCATCCGTTTCTTCTCCACGTGCGCCTTCCCCGGGTGGCCGGACCCCTTGTCCTTCCTCGAGTCCTTCATCTTTTTCAGCTCGGCCTCCACCTCGCGCTTCTTCGCCGCGATCTGCGCCGCGTGCTGCCCTGCCTCGTCGAGCGCGACGCGATGCGCGCGCAGTGGATCATCTTGCCCGTCGATGTCGATGTCGTGCTCCAAGAGCGCGGCGTCGTCGAAGTCGCCGGGAATCATGGCGGGCCGCGGCCTTGGAGATGGAGAACGCGGTGAAATAGGCGCTGAAGACGAGGTCCGTCCCGCACTTTGACGCTTTCGGGCAGCCACTCCTTTAACGAAAAGCCTTGCCTTTTTTCTTGAAGTGTCCGTCCCCAGCGCGGGGACGGACCGTCCCGTGGCAAGGAAATACCGCCTCTCCCATTTCGCAGAGCTGTCCCCGAGTGATGGCAGCAAACTCGCGGGAGTGAGCCGGGTTGCCGAGCCGGTGGAACGCGACATCACACAACTAGAGGAGCTCTCATCGACGTGGCCTGTGGAAATCGAACGCGTCTTGTCGCACTCATCGACGATGGCCGCGCTGACGCTCCCGACGCCCTACAGCTTCGGCGCGCCCGAGCCGGCGCCCTACGACGAGCGCCCGCCGTCGCGGCCGCGCACGCCGCAGCGGCGCGAAGTCCTCTTGTCGAAACGCAAGCAGAAGCGCCGGGACCAGGACGCGCAGCTCCGCGAGGCGCTCCGGCGGCTCCAGCTCGACGGCGGCGGCGGCGCGGAGCCGGCCGACGAGGCGCCGCCGCGCGCGTCGGTCGTCGCCGACTGCATCGCGGACCCCGCGAGCCTCAACCTTTACCTGAGCTGCGCCGCGCCGCGGCGCGCGGACCGGCGGCGGCGGCGCGACGCGCCCGAGTCGGCGACGACGGAGGCGCTGCGCGGCTGGTTCCGCGTCGAGCGTTCCGCGCGGTCGGGGCTCCGGGACGACCAGGCGCCGGCCGTCGAGCGGCGCCTCGTCGACTGGCTCTCCGACGACCGGCCCCTGAGCCCCCAGCGGCTCCTGGCGCCGCGGGGGCTCAAGCTGCGCGCGCCCTACGGCGGCGGCGCGCGCGGCCGCCTCGTCGTCCACGCCGTGGCCAAGTTCCACGGCTGCGCGAGCCGGACGCTCCCGGACGCGGACGACGTCGTCCTCATCGAGCGGCCCCGCGAGGCGGCCCACCGCCTCGGCCGCGGCGCGCGCGTCGCGCACGCGCTCGACCACTTCCGGCGACGATGATGCGGACCGCCGCCCGGCCCTTGCTGCCAGTGGTAACGCCTGTTTGAGACTCCTCGTGTTTGAGAACGACGCCCGTTTACCACCGGGTCTACGCGCTGTGGTCGCCGCCGTGGTAGACGGGGATGATGCCCTTGCCGGAGAACCAGCGGCGGACGAAGACGATCTGGAAGATGGAGCAGACGATGTAGACGACGGTCTCGAAGAGGCTGCCCTCGACCATGGTGTTGTGCTTGGCGTCGTAGAGGGACTTGTGGTGCGCGAGGCGGCGCCGCTCGCGCGTCTGCTTGTCCTTGAGCACCGCGATCTGCGACCGCAGCGAGACCACGCGCTTCTCGATCTTCTCGATGGACTCGCTGTTCTTGCCCGGCTTCGCCTCGGCCTCGCGCTTCTTGCGCACGGGCTCGCCGTCGCCCGCCGCGCCGCCGGCCTTGGTCACGGAGAGCGTCACGAGCTTCTCGGAGATGCGCGACGCGGCGTTGTCGAGGCAGATGCGGTAGATGCCGCCGCCGCCGACGGCCGCGTCCGCGGCGATCTCGATGACGTGGGGCGCCGCGAAGGCCGCGCCGCTCTGCTTCGACTCGACGAGGTGCGCGCTGTGCGGCTTGCTCAGGCCGCTCTCGCCGCGCCGGTGCGCGCTCCGCGGCAGCCCGCTCTCCTCGACGACGGGGAACGGGCCGTCGATGGCGACGCTCACGTCCAAATTGCCGCCGGAGAGCACGAAGACCTCGAGGCTCGCGGACTGGCGCGCCTCCAGCTCCTCGTAGACGCAGCGCTTCTCCTTGGGCGCCAGGCGGAGGATCAGCCCGTCCTCCGTGATCGTGTCGGCCGAGCCGAGGCACGCGAGGGCCGCGAGGGACAGCGCGGCGCCGCGCATCGTCGGCAGCGACGCAGCGGCGGCGCGGCGGCGGCGCTCGACTTCGCGCGCGCCTCGACGGCGCCTGTGCCACTGAGGCTGTGGCGACGCTGCGCCCGGCCGGGGGTCACCACCGGCCGTCACAGCCTGCGGCGCTGCGCATGCGGGCGTCGCAAGGCTGTCGCAGCGTCGCCGCCTCACCCGCGCGGCGCCCCATCCCTTAGAACGCGGCGTGGGCGTAGGCCGCGGCGCCGACGAGGACGAGCGCCGCGGCGAAGAAGGGCGCGCCCGGGCCGACGGGCGACTGTGGCCGGAGCCCCGCGGCGAGGAGGCGGCCGTAGAGCGGGTAGCCCGCGGCGGAGACGAGCTCCTGGAGCGTCTGCAGCCCGCCGAGGACGGCGCCGCGGTCGCCCTCCGGCGCCTGGGACGCGACGAGCGCCGTCAGCGCGGGCACGGCGACGCACCCGAGCCCGCAGACCGCGATGGACGCCACGAAGGCCCGGCCCGACCGCGCCGTCCCCGCGAGGACGAAGCCCAACGCGTAGACGAGGCAGCCCGCCTTGATCGCGGGCGCGACGCCGAGCCGCGGCACGACGAGGCGCGGCACGACCGCGAGCATGAGCCCGACGAGCACGAGCAGCGGCCCGCTCTGCTGCGGGCCCCAGCCGAACCTCGCGTTGACGAAGTTGACGAAGGTCGCGTTCAGCGCGAGGTTGCCGAGCCAGACCAGGCCGAAGGCCAGCGCGGCCGCGCGGAGCAGCGACGGCCCGCGCGTGTCGAAGTCGAGCTTCGCCAGCGATCCGAACGGGTTGCAGTCCGCGCGCTTCACCCGCTTCGCCTTGCGCTCCTTGGGCGTCGTCGACTCGGGCGTGACGAACAACGCGAGGAAGGCGTTCAGCGCCTGCAGCGCCGCGGCGACGTACATGGGCCGCCGCGCCTTGCCGCCCTTGGACAGCAGCCCCGACACGGGGAAGCCGACGCAGAACGCGCCGCCCGTGCTGAGGCCCTGGAACAGGCCCAGCGCCGCGGCCTGGGCGCCGCCGCCGGCCGCCGCCGTCGCGTCGGCGACGTAGGCGCCGCAGACCGCGTTCATGCACGACGTCATCCCGTCGACGGCGTCGGCCACGAAGAAGTGGGCCACGCGCGTGGCCCGCGCCTGGACGAGGATCGTCGCGAGGTAGCCCAACGCGCTCAGCGCGATGAGGGGCGTGCGCCCGACGACGTCGCTCAGAGCGCCGAGCGTGCCCACGAAGAAGAACGTGAGCAGCTTGTCCAAGCCCTCGACGTCGCCGCCGACGCGCGCGCTCCGCGTCGTCACGCGCGGCGAGCCGTCCTCGTTGACCGTCGCCGCGATGACGCGGGGCAGCACGGGGATGCAGAGGCCCAGCGACAGGAAGTAGAGCCAGTTGTGCAGGATGGCCCAGCTGTAGCTCGGCGACGTTTTCGTGAGGCCGCCGCGAGGCTTGAGCGCTGCAGCCTTACGCGGCGCCGCCGTTTTCAGCGTAATGGAGCCTTTCGTAGGGGGCGGCGCGAGGCGTCCTGCGGCAGTCGCGGCCAGGCAGGCGAGCGCCAGCAAGGATGCGCGCGAAGCCATGCCGATCTTTGAGAAGGCTGTCGCAATCGCTCGTCCACAGGTCGCCGATGCCGCGGGGTTGCCGTGGGCCAGCGGCGAGTCGGATGATATACGCGTACGACTTCGCGTACGCCTACGTGTACGTGGGCCACTTCGTGGGCCGGCGCTAATTCGAGGTACCAACGCTCCCACCCTCTTCCAAAAAAAGAAACAGAGCCAGATTAGGCCTCGGCGGCCGCGCCCTTCTTCGGCGAGTCCGGGACGCGGTAGTCCGCCTCGACGGAGCCGACGATGTCGAAGTGGGTGCCCGGCTGCCAGTTGTGGCTGCCGCCCTTGTCCCACTTGACCTGGACGCGGTTCTCCGCGCCGTCCATGGTCTTCGTCGAGCAGCGGCCGATGACGGTGCCGAGGTCGCCCGGCGTGATGCCCGAGAACTCGACCTTGGCCTTGACGCGGTCGTACTTCTTGCACTCGCTGTTGGGCACGAGCGGCGCGTGCTCGATCTTCTCGTGGTCGCAGTCGAGCGCGAAGCCCGCGAAGTCGACGCGGAGCCAGCCCGCCGCGCGCTTGTCCGGGTCCGCGGCGAGGCCGACGATGACGCCCGCGCGGCCCTTGTTCGAGCCCGCGAGGGACGTGACCTTGTCCTCCTTGGCCAGGGAGCGGACGTAGGGCACGTAGGACACCTGCGTCGGCGTGTAGGAGTAGCGCGAGCACGCGTCCCCGTCCTCGATGTCGAAGTCGATGAGGAGCCGCGTCGCGATGTTGTCGGGCCCGCCCGCGCCGGGCCCGGCGACGACGCCGCGGTTGCCGACCTTGACGCCCTCGAAGCCCACGTTCGCGACGATGACGTCGCCCTTGGAGATCAGCGACCCTTTCGTGAGGGGCGCGTGCGCGAGCTCGCTGTGCACGGAGCAGTGGACCTCGCCGCCGATCTTGCCCACGCTCACGACGACCTTGGACTCGTCGTCCGGGTCGTCGGCGTGGCCCATGATGCGGCCGCGCGCGCCGCGGTTCGCGGCGCCGACGCGCTTCGTGAGCAGGACCTCGTCGCCGACGACGAAGCCGCTGTCCGGGACGACGTCGCAGCGGTGGCACTGCTGGCCCGGCGCGAAGGAGTAGGTCTTGCCGATGTTGAAGTCGATCTGCACGCGGCGCTCGCCCTTGGCGTCCTTCGCGCCGCGCTTGAGCACCGTGCCGACGGCGCCCTTCTTGACCGCGTTGAACGCGACGTCCGCGATGACGAGGTCGCCCGGCTGGAAGTCGTAGACGAGGTCGGGCTTCACGTTCGCCTTGAGGATGCCCGTCTTGTCCGCGTCGAGGACCTTGCCCCAGAGCATGTACTTGTGCTCGTCGAAGCGGTCCGCGCCGAGAAAGTCGACGGGCGACGCGCCGTCGCGGTCCCGCATGAGCTCCTCGACGATGGCCTTCTTCGCGCGGTTCGTGGCCACGGCCCGGCGCTTCTTCGCGTCCTTCCACGCGTGCTCGTGGGCCGGGTCGTGGGCCGTGATCGCGGACTTGCGCGCGTCGTCGTCGTCCTTCTTGAGGAGCGCGTCGAGCGGCTCGAGCTTGCCCGCGAGCTTCGGGATGACGGCGCCGTCGACGTCCTTCTTGTGGACGTCGCGGTACTTGACGGGCTTGTCGAGCTTCTTCGCGGCGGGCTTGTCGAGCAGGAGCCAGGACAGGATCGTGACGGCGCCGTCGCGGCACGCCGCGGGCAGCGCGTAGGCCGGGTCCGCGCCGTAGGCCACGATGAGCTTCTCCGCGAGGGGCCAGTCGAGCTTCTTGACGTCCGCGTCGGACGTCAGGTCCGGCCGGTCGTTGCGCCGCGCGAGCTCCGCCCTGCAGGCCGCGTAGAGCGGGCAGACGCACGACGCGCGCGGGAAGACGTTGAGGTCCGCCTTCCAGTCCAGCAGCAGCGCGATGAGCTTGTCGTCGAGCTTGTCGCAGGCGAGCGCGAGGGCCGTGTTGCCCAGCGGGTCCTCCGACGCCGCGTCCGCGAAGTCGCTCAGGAGCGCCTCGCACTCGGCGACGTTGCCCTCGAAGGCCGCGTCCACGAGGGCCCGCGACTTGTGCGTGAGGTAGTCCTTGACGTAGGTGTCGACCTTGAGCCGCGCGACCTTGACGGCGTCGGCGCCCGCGAAGCGCGCGAGCGTCGACACCGCGCGCGCCTTCGCCTCCGGCAGCCGCCGCCGGAGCATGGCGAGGCCGACGACGAGGGCCGTCACGCCCTGCTTGTTCTCCACGTCCACGCGCACCCGGCCGACGTCCAGGAGCGCCCAGACCATGCGCTCGCTGCCGCGGCGCACGGCGAGGTGCAGCGGCGTGTCGCCGACGTCGTCCGGCGCGGTGACGTCGCCGTCGGCGCCGTGGTTGAGCAGGCGCGCGGCGATCTCGACGTGGTCGTGCGCCGCGGCCTCGTGGAGGAGGAGGCGCGCCGCGCCCGTCTCGAAGAGCTCGCGCAGGTCCGCGGTGAGGTGCTTCTGCGACCGCGACTTGATCATGCCCGCGGGCGCGTCGTGGAGGTGGCTGAGGTCCCGGACGACGCCCGCGTTCTCGCGGCCCCACTGGAGCGCCGTGTCGACGCGGTCCATGTCGCCGTCGGCGACGGCGGCCTGGAGCTCGCGGACGACGGAGAAGTCGCGGTGGCCCGTCGTCTTCTTCGCGCGGAGGTAGGGCTCCGTCGACAGCTGGAGCTCGCAGAGGTGGCCGCTCTCCTCGACGACCATCTGGATGTCGCGGTAGTCGCCGAGGGGGTCGAGGTAGCGGTCGTTGAGCTCGCGGACGCGGCCGCCGAGCTTCGCGACGACCGTCGCGAGGCCCGCGTACATGGCGTCGAAGTCCGCGAACTGGAGCGTCGCCCGGACGAGGTCCGTGAGCCGGTAGTACGCGATGCCGTCGCCCTCGGCGTCGCGGTACTTGTAGAGCGCCTTCATGCGCGCGCGCGTCTTCGCCTTGATGGGCCCGACGATGGCCTTGGCCGACGACTCGGCCGCGAGGTCCCGGATCGTCTTCTCGAAGACCGGGTGCGCGGCCTCGGCGTCCTCGTAGAGCTCCTCGATGGACTCGACGAAGCGCTGGTTCACGAGCTGGCGGCTGAAGCCCCGCCGGTCCTCGTGGCTCCCGGGCACGGCCTCCGTGAGCTCCTTCTCCAGGTCCGCGTCGCGCACCTCGGCGCTGAGCGCCTCCGACATCGACCTGTGCATCTCGAGCGTCTTGTCGCCGCCGAGCTTCTCGAGCGCCTCGTCGTAGGTGATGCCCTCCTCGGCGGCGCGGGGGCTCGCGACCGGCGTCTCCAGCCCCGGCGCGTCCTTGCCCTTCTCCTTGAGCTTGCCCGTGATGAAGTCGTACTTGCCGTCCCATTCCTCCCCTTTCGCGCCATTCTTTGTCGGCGACGAACACGACTCCACGTCGTCCTCGTCGTCCTCGACTTCGAATTCTTCCGCGCGCGCCTTGCAGGGCTTGTACTTGCCGTCCCGCTCTTCTACTGCACGACGACGGAGATCGTCATCGGGCACTTCCGCGCGCGCCTTGCGGGGCTCCTTCGCCAGCACGACGTAGTCGTGGGGCAGCATGTCCGGCTCCGGGATCTCCTCCGCCGTCTGCGCCTGGGCCACGCCCTGCAGCGGCGCGGAGTGCAGCGGCGGCGGCGCGAGGCCGCCGTCGCGCGCGACGGCGATCGTCGCCTCGAGGGCGGCGATGCGCGACACGAACTTGCTCTCGAGCTCGACCATCTTGAAGGCGATGACCTGGTGCACGGCCGCCTGGAGCTTCTCCTCGAGACGAAGCTCGAGGGCCGCGCTCTGCTTCGAATCGGCGCCGAGCTTGTTCTCCATCTCGACCATCTTAAAGGCCAGGAGCTGGTGCATCTTCGCCTCGAGCTTCTCCTCGAGGCGGTGCTCGAGGCCCGCGTCCTTCGCCTCCTCGGCGGCGTGCGCGGCGCGCATCGCGGAGGCCACCAAGAACCGGATGCGCAGCCCACCCTGGCCCGCGGGCAAACCGGTTTGCCTCGAGGTGGGCTTGCTTGACGTTGCCGTGAAGCCGAGCTTGAATGATGACATCTGGCACCCATCGGCAGCGCTCGCTCGTCGAGCTCGCTCGCTCGGCGCGGTCCGCCACACGTCGAATTGCCGTCGCTTACTCCTCCTCCTCCTCCCCGGCGGCGCTGGGCGCGAAGTCGCTCTCGTCCTCGAGCCGCGGCGGCGGCGGGTCGTCCGCGTCGGAGTCGTCGACGATGCCCGCGGTGGGGATGGCGACGGCCTGGGCCTTGTTCTGGCCGAGGGCGGACTTGCGCGGCGCGAGCTCGATGACGCGCGACTTGCGGACGACGGCCTGCGTCGCGCGCTTCGCCATCGACTTGCGGCCGCCGCCGTCGGCCGACGGCGGCGACGGCGACTTGCCGCGCTTCGTCATGCGGGGCGAGTTGGCGCCGTTGGCGACCATGGAGCGCTTCGGCGCCCGGGGCGCGCGCATGGTCATCTTGCCCTCGGAGCCCTGCTTCTTGGCCACGGACTTTCGCTTGGACACGGATTTCCGGCTCCCGAACGCGCGGCCCGCCTGCTGCGCGGACTTCTTGAACTTCTCCACCTCAACTTTCAAAGCCGCGTTCGACGCGTGGACCATCTCGAGCTCGTGGGCGCGCTCCTCGGCGCTGTCCGCGCGCGCGCGGTAGCCCTCCGCGCGGTCCTCGGCGCCCTGGACGCGCGTCTGGAGCCGCGCGCCGAACTCCGCGAGGTCGAGGCAGCGCTGGTGGTCCGCCCGGCCCTTCTCCGTGGCGTCGCGCACGGCGGCGTCGCGCTCCTGCCGGAGCTCGTCGCCCGCGCGGCGCGCGTCCGCGAGCTCGCGCCTCAGGCCCTCGACCTCGACGCGGAGGTTCACCGCGTCGCTCGACGACGACGCCGACGCGGCGGCGGCGGCGGACATGGTCGTCGACGCGTGCGTGATGGCCTTCTCCATGCGCACCTGCGTCTTCTCGCACTCCCGCTCCGCGTGCGCGCGCGCCGCGAGCGACGCGGCCGCCTGGGCCTCCGCGCGCTCCGTGCGCAGCTGGAGCTCGACCATGTTCTTCTTCATCTCCTCGTTGACGTTGTTCAGGATGCTCCGCTCCGCCCTCAACTCCGCGTAGAAGCGCCGCACCTTGGCGACGACGCGCGACGTCGCCTCCGCGGACGCGGCCTCGCCGGAGTTGTCCCAGGACCGGTCGCCGTCGGAGCCCTTGGGGCCCGCGCCGTTGCCCTCGCCGTACTGGCGCCGCCGCATGACCTGGAGCTTGCGCAGCAGCCGCACCTTGTCCGCGTGGACGCGCTCGGTCTGCGCGAAGAGCTGGAGCCGGCTCCGGAGCTCCGCGTTGTTCGCCTCGTCCTGGCGGTCCTCGGCGTCGCGGAGCTGGTGCATGAGGAACTCGGCGAAGCTCGCGTCGCCCTCGCGCTGGGGCACGAGCGCCCGCGCCGCGGCCGCGGGCGCGGCGGCCGGCGCCTTTTTTCTTCGCGCGTTCCGCGTCGGCGCGGCCGCGCCCGTCGGCGCGGCCGCGGGCGGCGAATCCTCGCGGGCGTCGTC